CTCATTTCTGAAAGCTGCTCAGTGTTGTGCCAGTTTGTGTGTTGTGACATTCTGGTTGTTGATCTGCTTCATTAAAGATGTACCCGGTAACACTGATGCCTCGAGTGGCAGCAGGTGATGACAGTGTGAAACAGATCTGATTCTAGCTAGAGGTGGGCGATCTGGTCAACAGATCATATCACAATCTTTTTAGGTTGAATCACAATCCACAATCTGAATCAGGAAGCTAACCCACAGATTTAGTTGAACTTGTGATCACATGACTAGTTGTTCATATGGTTGCCTGGACACAAAGCCGATAACCTGTGGACTTCTCTTGTGAACAAACAAAAATTATGTTTACATTCAGTGTTTCTCTGAAACCGGTGGGAGAAATGTATAATATATCCTCTGAGTGAGTGCACATGCATGTGCAAACAAACTGAAGACCCACATGCTCCATGGTAATGGAACCAAAAACTCCCCAGGGAACCTTTACTCTGCCCTATAGACCTGAAGACGTTTCAGTTTAAAAAGACGTGTCACAGTAGGAAAAGCACAGGTGCAAATAATAAAATCAGTGATGGCTGAGCTCCATTTAGTTTCTTCAGTGTCCTGCTCACGGTCACACTCTCAGGACTTAAAGGTGCTCTGTGAAGGTTCCACTCAGAGAAAAACAGCTCCGTCAAAACCACCACAGGGAGCCTTTACTGGGACACTTACAACAGAGGAATACAGCAGAGCCATTGTTAATGTTGTCGGTAACACCTGTGCTTTTCCTATTGTGACTACTGTGAGAGAAATGGTGAAAACCTTTTTGTAAATTGCTTCATGTCTTCAATCTGTAATGTGGCCTCAAAGCTCCTTGTCTGACCTGTTCCCTTGTGTGACAAAACCGTGCTACAAATGTCCAAATGTAAATTTTAAAGAAACTTCTGACTCTGGTTAAAACTAACAAACCAAAGCAAAACAAACCTTGAGGGACTGTGTGCGGCTACTTCATAACATGGTCTCAATTATGAGTGACACAGCTTCATGAGAGCTGAGTGTGAAAGATTACTCAGCAGTACTTTGTCTCACACATTTCATAATGCTCGAATTGTATGTTTACGTTTTTTTAATGCAGCCTTTAGGGCTGTCAATAAACACGTTACCTGCTGTAGAGATACACTGCGCAGGAAAAGCTTCAATATTTTGACATGAAAGTCTTTGTCTAGTACAGATTTTACAGTTTTGGCTTTCGTATCATTATATTGGAGTTCATTTTGTGATATGATAAAATAAGTGTAATAGAAGAATTACAGAATTAATCACAGACATGTTGGGAACTCCAGGCAGGACGTTACCTCTCCTCCCTCGCCTTCGTCCAGCCGTGTAATCCTGCAGCCGTGGCGTTGGTGTCAGCGCTGGGATCTAGTGTCACACAGACGGACACAATGGCCGCACTGTACTCCACTCACAGCATTGTTCTCCCCTGAACTTGGGGGCACAATGAGGCTTTTATCCACACAGGACAGAGAGGCTGGCAGACCCACTGTCAGGTGCTTTTGGTCCAAGCTGAACCCATGAGGAGAGTTTGTTTAAAGTGACAAAGACATTTTCTGAAAGATTGGTCCACTGTTAACCACTGAGTGAAGAGGACGTAGATGCTGAAATCATTTGTTTGCCGCTGGGTTACATGCTAACACTTTACATCAGAGCAAAGCTGAACCATGAACATCAAAACCCTGCTAGTTCTCTGTCCTACCACTTCAATAATTATAGTCATTTGGTTTTCCACTTCCTGATGTGATTTGCAAGTTGTGAACACAACACTGGCACATCATCACCTTTTAAGTCAATATGGCAAACCCGTTAGCAAAAGGTCGCTCATTTACTCATCCAGCAGTTATGGAGCAACATTATCAGTAGGCAGTTTGAAGGCAGCAAGCTTTGAGGTTGAAGTCTTTAATGAAATGCACCATTAGACTCTGACAGGGCTCTGCTGTACGGCTTGACCACATCTCAGTTGTAGTACGGAAAAGCTCAGCTGTTTTCAGCTCCGCTGTGACTCTCAACTTATATTTTTTATATCCCTCCGGTATGGCAACCTGGCCATAATATGCGCGGGAGGGTACGCTGTACCGCTTATCCAGGGTGTTTATCAAAGCCGTAAACCCAGGCTTGGTCACCGTGCTGAGAGGCATCATATCTTTTCCTATGAACTCTGTTGTTGCCTGAGTAATTTCCCCGGGCCGTTTTGAATTACGTTCATATGGATTTATGCTTTCAAACATTTCGGTCAGTGATCCTTGTTGGGTGGTATTTGGCTTACCTGACGCACTGGGGGGCGGCATTTTAGCCATGCAACTATGGTACATGGCTTTGAGGTGTTTTTTTTAAGTGCTGATACAGGTTAGTAGTTTTGCCCCGTGAGGTAGCAACGATAGCAAGGCAGGTTCCGCACAATACCTGACGCTGTGCAGCATCTTCTTTTTTTTTAAAGCCAAAATAGTTCCAGACAGCCACGTACTGCTGCCCTTTGACACTAAAGTTTCTGCAGTGCCAGGTTCTGTCGAGCCGGGGCCATTGTACAACAGGTCAAAGTGTAGCGTGCCAAGTCTTTGCTCCCTCTTTTAGCTGACTCCTCTACTCTCGCTTGCATGTCACGTGACCACAGAGTGATCGCAGCCTTTGCGGTTAGAAAATGGTGTTTCATCATATCGCGATATTATCACAAATGCAGTTAATCGTTCAGCCCTACTGCCTGTTGCAGTCGAAACAGATGAGAGTGAAAGAAAACAGGTCGTGTTCTGCACTGCTAACCAATGAGCTGAAACTCACTGTAAAGCTCTGTTAAGGTGATAGAGCTGCAGATTCAGCTGATAAATCTCTGCAGGTTCATCTCTAAAAGCGACCCAAAGTCATTTTGATGAAGGTGGAGAACATGAGGTAACAAGGAGAAGAGCTCAGTGTCTTCAAAAGATTCCTGCAGGCTGCTCTTACAGGATATTTTTTGAATCAGTACATCAAACTAACATTTAAATAAAAATAATCCACAACTTTTTTGATTATTGATTAATTGTTAATGTCAATCAGGCTCTGTCTTCTCCAGTGTGAGGACCTGCTGGTTTTTTTTTTTTTTGTCATAATTCATTATCAATCAAATATCTTAAGATATTTGAAGATATCAATTTGGGCTTTGGAATTTGGAAATTTACAAAAAATAATCTCTAATCTGTCATGAAAATTAATAGTTGTAGTGTTTTGTGATGTTAAGTGATACTTGTATAAAAACCCTATTTATTTTAAACCAAAATATGTCAAACTGATTTGGCGGTGTTGGACAAACCCAGGCCCCAGAATTTCCCCAGGATGAGTTAGTAAAGGTTTTTCAGCTGTGAAAGCTCCAGGCTGACATTCAGAAAGCCTTTCGTTTCTGTTCTCTTTGTCCTTGAGTACGGCTCCTCTTTGTGTCTGTTGTACTGTTAGTGACACCATCTTTCCTTTTACAAAAAATAAATGCTCATTTTAACTGCAGAGTGAACACACAGTCAGTCTCTCTCTCTCTCTCTCTGTCTTTCTCCCTTTCTCCCTCTCTCTCACATTAAACCAGTTAATCCCTGCCAACTTTCAGCTTTTCAGCTTTGTCAGTCAGTCAGACCCACTAAAGCCGTACATATTAACCCGGCTGGCAGGTTTTATGGGACAAAGTATTAGGTCAGAGTTGGATGTTGACCTGGTCACATCTGCAGCAGATGAAATTATTGAAAATATATTCTTGTGACATTAAGAATAACATTTGCCTCTTGCACAAGAAGCAGAGAAGCACCTCATGGAGGTTTTTACGGATTTTAGAAAAACACTTTTTATAACTGAATGAGGTTTGTTAATTGTTAGTTGTGTGGCTAGTGACGGCCGGCCAAAATATGCCTGTACAGCACTATAATTATCATGTGCGAACTCTTTATTTCGCTGTTTAATGAAGCAGCTCCAGGACTGTGCTGATAACTTCTCCTGTAGGTTAGAGAGAACGTAGTGAGGCTCTCAGGTCTGATCTCCACAGCAGTGACTGCGCTTCCTGTTACAATATGTCCTTGAACACACACTCTGCCTACTCAGGTGTGAATTTGAATGTGTTGGGAGAGCAGTTTTTACATGTTTGTGTTCAGGTGAAGACTGAGCTGCTAAACCGTTGTAGCTCATGAATATTTTGGCGTGACTTTCTTGTAAATCAGCAAGAATCCCTAATAAGTTTTAAAATAAGTACCCCCTGTTTAAAGCCTTTTGTTGTACATAAATAATGAGCAATAATGTGGTGTTGCAGCACAGTGTAGTGTTTGCCATTTTTATACTTGTATATTGTTGTATTTTGTTGTCTATCTGTCTTCTTGTTTTAAGGCGATAAAATCCACAGATGGCTTTAGAAACTGTTTAATAGCTCAGCACAGAGTTTTGAAATGAATGAATTATGAAAGCCATCTGTACTTTAACGCTGGAACATGGAGGAGTAATGGTCTTATACAAATTATATAAGAGCTCTGTAGTGATGCTGAGCTTGTGTTTTGTAGTTTGATCATGAATACACAGAGTAAAAGCTAAAGGTTTTTTTTGTCAGTTTTCTTTGTCTTGTTGAACTATTATACAGTCATTGCAAGTTGGCAAGTATATGCTGAATTTGAACCTAATTTAAATCAGATTTTCCAGCAGAACTTGAATTAGATTGATTTGTTTATTTATTTTTTGGATCAGTGCTTTGGGTGCGGTTCCTGCAGCGCTGCTTTGTTCATGTTTTTTTTCATGCCGATAAAGCTATTTGAATCTGAATCTGGTTATTTGTGTCTGCTGCTTGAGGCTGAATCTTTCTTTCTTTGTTTTTCTTGCCCAGATTGAAAAATACAGTTGAAATTATTCAGGGCATTTATTCTCCTTTTATTTTTTTTTATTTTATGTGCCCTTCATAATGTTTAAAGCTTCTATTACTTTTCAATCACAAAACAAAGAAATCAGAGCCTCTTCCCTTCTGTCTGTGTTTGCTGTAGGATCCGTCCCCAGCTGGCCAGGGAGAAGATCGAGGGATGTCACATCTGCACATATGTGATGCCCGGGGAGCCCCAGGTGATCCTGGGGAAAGACAAGGCCTTCACCTACGACTATATGTTCGACATGGACTCCCAGCAGGACTCCATTTACGCCACCTGCACGGAGAAGCTGATCGACGGCTGCTTCGAAGGCTACAACGCCACCGTCTTTGCATACGGACAGGCGAGTCTTTGTCCTCGTGTCTCGGCTGCAGTGCTGGTGGTTTATAGCTCGGTGGATGTAGAGAGCTGGTCTCTGTGTTTGGGTGTGTTTGAGGGAAGACAGAGGAGGAGTGTTGAGGAGGTGGAGAGTGGTGACATTTGGGTAAAATGAGACTAGAGGAGACTTCTGTTGTGGAATTTGAACCTCTGTGACCTTGTATCTGTCCAACCATAGTTTTAAAGGAGTAGTGTTACATTTTGAGGAATACACTTGCTTAAAGTTAGAGGAGAAGATCAATGCTACTCACCTCTGTACACTTAATATGCAGCTGCAGCCAGGAGGCAGTTAGCAAAGCTTAGCATAAAGACTGGAAACAGGGAAACTGGATCTGGCTCTGTCTATAATTTTTGTATGAATTTATAAATTACACAAAGATTTTTACAAAATATTTTCTGTTAATAAGAATACTTATTGCCCCGGTGGCTCAATTGGAAGGCTCAGTCCTTACCATAGTGGCCCTTTGCTGCATTTCACCAACCCCACCCCACCCCCCTCTCCCTGACCTTCCAGTCTCAGCTATAATAAAAGCAAAATGCCAGAAAAAATAACTATAAAAAATATTTTCTGATTTCAGTATATTTGACAATACAGCAGCATGTCACTTTTATTTAAGCTTAAAAAGACAGTTTTATCTCAGACGTCTTAACAGTCTGTGTCACAGCCTCTACACTAAGAGCCCTGATTTAGTCAGGACAGAAACCAGGAGGAACAACAGAGGGTTCCTCTTTCAGGACGAGTAGAAATGCAACATCTTCATTCAGATTACACAGACGCAGCAATTGTAAAATTACAATAATTCAAAATCAAGGTGATTCTCAACCCGTGACCCATGCTTACATGTACCCCACGGGTAAGACTGTGTAGTAGCTCTGCTAATCTGAGAAACAACAGAAATTTAACTTGGTTAATAAAAAATGATTTGTGTTTAGGAGGAAAATAAAAACACAAGTAGGACTACAAATTGATCTTTGATGTATTTATTGTCACAATAACCTATAAACTGCCAGCTATGATATGCTGATAGTACAGGACTCACCTCAAAATCTAATAAGTTGGATAAAAGATAAGTTGTCTAAGCTGTAGAAGTACAAATCCAGTCTTGACCAGGATTCTGCAGAAATCCAGGATTACTGCTTTGCGTTGGAACAAGATCTACTTTTATGTAATCAAGCAAATGAAGACAGTTTAAATCACTCAAATTTATGTCTAATGGAATAAACTGGACTCCACTGTTACATGTTACATTTACACATATAAAACAAATCTCTGTAAGTCATTTTGTTAGTTTTTAATTGTAGTTTGGTTGTAACTTTTCATTTGGACGACACACTTTTATGAAAAGATAAAACATTCTGATCACATCATCAGTTTATATCAGTGCTCAGCTGCAGTTCATGTGTCTCCTGGTTCACTGTGCAGAAATGATTTTGTGCTAATGTAAATCTGAATGTTAAGTTGCGAGGGAGCTCAAGCCTCATAATCCTACCAAGTTCTTCTGGGGCCAGAGAAACTGCTGTTTCCTCTGCACGCACACCGGCTCATCTATTAGTGCCGCCGCCGCCACCGCCACCGCCACCGCCACCACTGATGCACCGCATCTTTAAGAACAGTTTAGGGATTTACCCGTGGTATTAATGGCATTACTGGCAGTGAGCCTGCTAATGCGAGATGTACAGAGATTCTGTATTGTAACGACGTTATTAACAAAGCCAAAATACAACAGACATCACAGTTCAAAAAATTAACAAGTTACCTTAAATGTGTATGTATACAGTATATATTCATGTGTGTGTCTATATACACACACATACACACATTTATGAATAAATAAAAACCCTTGTGTGCAGAGACATTTTTGACATTTTTTTAGCTGATGACTACTTTTCAAAAAATCCTTTCAGAATTTGTACAAAGACTCAGATATTTGGGGAAGATTTAAAAACAAAATTCATTTATATGTGTGGAGTGTGTCCCGCAATAATGCCAAATTAATCTTATGGAGCTTTATGTTTTTGTGGTGGTGTTGTGCTTCCATGGATGCAGCTTCCAGCTTGCAACCTTTTCTTTGTCTTTATGATAGTAAATCTTTGGGCTTTGTGACTGTTGATCAGGCAACATTAGTCAGACAGGTTGAATGTGCTTTTGGAAATTCATTTTTCACAGTTTTCCGATGTTTAACTGAGAGAATAATCTGAAGATTGTTGGATAGTGAAAGGATCATTACTTGCTTTTTCTTCAGTTACTCCTCCTCCTCTTTCACTTCTTCATTTCTTCCTCCAAGTTCATCACATGGAAATAACATGCAAGTTTCGGCCTCACAGCCCCCCTCCACTCGTTACCTCCCCTACTGCTTAGGTTGCCATGGTGACGGAGATCCTGCTTCATGGCACTCACACGATTCAGAGTGAAGAGAAGTGCACACACACACACACTGGCACACACACTGTTTAGGCAGCTAACTATGCATCTTTAATGTGTGTCCATAACCCGTATCTCCCTGGTTACTGCTGCTCACTGCTGGCCTACTTCTGAAGCCACAGACGGATCAGACCCGTTTGCCTCTGTGGCTTTACAGGGACTAATCTAGATTTAGACCGACCCACTGGGCTGCATCACAAGAACTCAGCCCAGTTTGGTTTCAGATATAAACAGACAGTGATGATGTGAGGAGCAGAGAAAATATCTTCTGTCGTATCAACAGTACTTTGGATTGTTCAAAGTCCTGGTTTACTTCAGTTTAAGACGGACTCGTTCTTTTTTTAGTTTTATTTTTTGTCGGACTAAAATTGATGTCGGTTCATCTTTATCAAAAATAAACAATATATTTCAGAATGAAATGGCAAGAGAGAAATGACGGTGGAACAGTTACTAATATCTCCACTGACAATAACTTTATTTGACCAGAATGAATTCAGCCACAACACAAGAGTCACACATTTTATCTTATCTAGAAAGACTTGCTCTCCAGCTGCATGTGTAGCCCCCAGGTGAAAGCATTGAACTCATGGATGTCAAAAGGAATTCTGGGAAATGTAGGAAATAAAAAAACAACTGGAGAAAAAGTAGATGGCAGATTAAGTAAAAGTAAACAAACTGTAGTCAGAAACTAAACTTTATAGTCAGAAATTACTTTACAAAGTAAAACAAATTACAATATAAAAATACACTCAAATAATGAAAAGGAAATGCAATAATAAAACACAAAACAAAAATGAACTTAAAAAAAGTAAACAGACCCCAGCACTGTGTACAATATTTGTTCCTTCGAATGACACCTTCATCTCCTCCTACAGACGGGTTCAGGGAAGACCTACACCATGGGGACGGGCTTTGATGTCAACATCGTAGACGAGGAGCTGGGCATCATCCCCCGTGCCGTCCATCACCTCTTCAAAGGCATCGAGGAGCGCCGACAAGCCGCCCAGGAGCAGGGACGCCCCGTACCTGAGTTCAAGATCAACGCCCAGTTCCTCGAGGTACTGACCCATATGACTGCATCATAAATAATAATGTTTCTTTTATTGTTTCTGCTTCTTTGAGTCAAAAAATATTAACTAAATAAAACAAACAGAATGTAATCTTCCTCTCACCAGCATTAGGACAGGCTCTACAGAGATGTCATGGGTCAGGCTTATATTGTTGACACAGCTCGTTTAACAAGCTTTGACACCAGCGCTCCATCACTAGAAAATATCCACCCTGACAATTGAACTGCAGCAGCTGTCATCGGGGGTTAGGAGGTGTTTGGGGAGGGGGGGGTGTCTCAGTCTGGGCAGGAGGAGTTAACAGGAATGATGTGAGTTGACACATGTGCTGGTCCATCAGACTGTGACAGTGTTCAGATTCCTGAAGAAGAGTTGTGGCTGAGAGATATGGATGTGCACAGAAATCACACGGCAGAGGCAGAAAGTCCAACAGGTGGTATTTGGTGCTGATAGTCAGACTTTTTTACACATCATTTTTTCATATTTATTTCAGACAATTCAAATCATCATGAAACACTGAAACTTAATGGAACTACAGATTCTTAATTTAACTGCATCAAGGGCAAAATGATCATACAGTATTTAATCAAGGCAAATATCACCAAACACGGGTCTTGAAATAGTTCTGTCACAACAGACCATAAATGAAGCACTGTGGTGCTACAGAGACGCTCCAGCCTACGAATCATATTCTCCAGATGTAATGGAACAACATATTTGTTTGGTACAAGCTGCAACAAAAATCACATTATCATTTTTTTATTTTTTTTAGAAAATCAAATGCAAAAATGACCACTATGAAATGACTAACTGAAATCGGGAATCTATATTCTAATCTCATATTAAAATGGCCTGAATACAGTTTATTCTCTTATGTTTTTTCTTTCTGTATGTGCAGTCACACTAGGCTTGGCATTACCCAAAACTGAATATTTCAATATAGTCCTCAATTATATTGAGAAATATTGCAATTTTCTATATTATCAAATATCTTCCCACCTCTAACTCACACACACGCAGCATTTCATTTTCAGGTGCCCACTTTTAATTTTGCATATTTCACCGACAGCTTGAGTTGTTGTCTTGCTTCTTTATTTGGGTTCTTACATTGATCCTTAATGTATTTCAAAGTAGGATGAAGACAGTCTGAAATGTTTCAACTCTGAAGCCTTCAGATTTTCCCTGAATTTTGATGATTTAATCCAACGCTTTAATTATAGCAGATAAATCACTTCAGTTTTTTCTTGTGTTTTGCCTTCACACAGCTTTATAATGAGGAGGTTCTGGACCTGTTTGACTCCGCACGAGACATGAAGCAGAAATCTCACATCAAGATCCACGAAGACGCCACCGGAGGAATCTACACAGTGGGAGTGACCACTCGGACCGTATCCTCCGAGGCCGAGGTACAGGGGGGACAACACCTGTCTGAAGCAGTCATCAAATGTATTGTCTTGGGATGCTAAATTTAAAGTTTTAATTTAATTAAACTGTTCATGCAGTCATTCAGCATCAAACATTGTTAGTCTCTCTTTCTCAAGCATCAATAAGCTTATTTAAATGTATAAATATTCTATGGATAATTGAGAATATACTTTTAATAGATTTACTCTGATTGTGAACCAGCACAAGGCCTCCTTCATTCATTTGTAATTCATATATTATTCATCACTGCTCCCATGTTTACTCTTATAAATACCAGAGAGGATTTGTTGTTGTTGTTTTCCCAGCTGTATCAAAGTTGAACCCGTGTGTTAACACGTAAAACTCTTCCTCTGCCTCTTCAGATGATGCAGTGCCTGAAGCTGGGCGCTCTGTCGCGCACCACAGCCAGCACCCAGATGAACGTCCAGAGCTCTCGATCACACGCAATCTTCACCATCCATTTGTGCCAAGTCCGCGTTTGTGCCTCCGACAATGTTAGTACATCATCACACTGAGCGACATCTGAAGAAGGACTGTGAAGTGCAAAAACCTGCGCTTTAAATTTAAATATTCAATATAAATGATGTGGACTGCGGGGTTTTTTTTTATCATCCAGCTTCAGATTGTTTTAAAGCAAAAAAAAATTTCAGTTCAGTTTTCAGTTCTAAGTGTTAGTAAGACATTGCAACTTGAGTTTTCCCTTCATGAAAATTCTTCTCAGTCTTTGAATCTGCATTTTAAATATGAAAATAAAAATATAAAATACTCATTTACAAAGGGATCAAAAGTGAACAGTTTGTCACAATGTTTTATTGTCAGTCCTTCTGTAAGAGAATCTTTTTTTAATTTTATTTTGCGCAGTAATTCTTCATAAGATAGAGACGAACATGGAAACGCATGATGATATAATGCTGCGTCACTAACAGAGTTTGTGTGTGTCGTTGTCCCTCAGCAAGAAAATGATAGCGATAACCGAGTCTCCAATGGAAACTCTGAGATGGACGAGTACGAGACGCTGACAGCCAAGTTCCACTTTGTGGATCTGGCCGGTTCTGAGAGGCTGAAGAGAACCGGAGCAACGGGCGATCGAGCCAAAGAGGGCATCTCCATCAACTGTGGACTGGTGAGTTTCTCCCCCCTCCACCTGACTCCTGCAGAATTTATAAGGTCACTCTGGGATGCAGAGCGGTTTTCATATTCCAGAGTTGTACTGCCATCTAGTGGCAGAGTTTTCTAGACATTTATCCTGCACTGAGACGGCAACAAGGTGAAGCTATTAGTGGAAGATTTACTGCTTAAGATCAGGATACAAGACCAACAAAAACATCAGCCAACAAAAACTGGCAAAATAAGTTGTTTTGTTTTTGAAAGAACATGTAAAACATTTTAACCATGATGCAGGATGTTATTTGTCACCAGCAGCCTCATCTCAGGGTTGAAAGGTTGTTTTCCAGAGAGAGGAACGTAGAACATTTGATAATCCTAATAATAACGGCTGGAAAGGTCAAGAAATGTTACAGATCATTAGCCAGGGAAATTGTTAGTTGTATTTAACAGATGTTTCTTTAATTATTTGCATTAGATGGTGGATTTTTGGCTCTTGTTGTTTCTTGTATGACAAAACTCTGCAGCTGAGATGGAAACCAAGATTTTTCACCACAACGAAAACCTTTTAGGATTTAACAAAATGTTATGTCATAGCCAAGCTACAATGTCTGTTTGTGTGACGAGTGTCCATGTCGTGTGCGTATTGCAAAGACTTGTGCTTGTATGAATTCCTGTTACGTTAAACATCTGTATGAGCCTGAAACATTATGTCTGTTCTCTGCTGCAGCTCGCTCTGGGGAATGTAATCAGTGCTTTGGGCGACCGCAGCAAGCGGTCCTCTCATGTGCCTTACAGAGACTCCAAACTCACCCGACTCCTGCAGGACTCTTTAGGAGGAAACAGGTTTCTGATTTCACCTTCTTCCACAATACAATGATCTGACTTAAAGTTTGTTGCAGTAACATTAATGTAGGAATGAATAAAGATTATGTTTACTTTGGAATAGGGAGAATACTCATCAATAATTGGACAATTAAGTTAAGTTAAGTAACGGTTTACTTTCACAATCCAAAATGTGAAATCATGCAGCATTTTATCAGCTTTAAAATTTCACTTCTCAGAGAAATCATTCTGGCCTCTTATACTGAGGCTCAAATGCAAAAAAGTAACCTTGGTAGTTTGAATTTTAATGTTTATTATATTTAGATTATAAATCGTAGAGCAGTAAAAAGAGTTGAAGTGTAAGCCTTTGAGCAGCTGAATCAATCCCTATCCACCTCCTTCTTCTCTAAGCCAAACAGTGATGATCGCCTGCATCAGCCCGTCTGACCGGGACTTCATGGAGACGCTGAACACACTAAAGTACGCCAACCGAGCCCGGAACATCAAGAACAAGGTGATGGTGAACCAGGACAAGGCCAGCCAGCAGATCAGTGCTCTGAGGACGGAAATAGCTCGACTGCAGATCGAGCTGATGGAGTACAAGACGGTGAGGAGGGGGAGGAGAATGAGAGGCAGAAAGAGGAATAGAAAACATTTATTACAAGCATTTTTTCTTTGATTCTAGAAACAAATCCCTTTTTTTCCCCCCATTGCACCCTGAAAATTGTAGCTCTCAAATAAATATCACGGTTTTCCTCCTCCCCCCTGCAGGGTAAACGCATGGTGGGTGAGGATGGTATGGAGAGTTTCAGCGACATGTTCCATGAGAACTCCATGCTGCAGACGGAGAACAGCAACCTGAGGGTGAGGGTGAAGGCCATGCAGGAGACCATCGATGCTCAGAGGGCACGGCTCACCCAGCTGCTCAGTGACCAGGCCAACCAGGCCCTCGCCAGGGCAGGTAGGGCTGCACAATCAAACTCCTAGATTAGTTTAGGCAGGCAAAGTTTTTATTCTGTTGTCTTCAGTTTCAATATGTTATAACAGTATTAGAAAACAGGAAACCATTTTTCCTCTTCATCTCACTGAGCTGAAATCTGTCCTGTTTCTCTCCCAGGTGAAGGAGGAACAGAGGAAATTGGAAACATGATTCAGGGCTACATCAAAGAGATTGAGGACCTCAGGTAAACATCTCATACTGTGCTTTATTTCCTCGTTATTCACTTTCCTTCAGAGCCTTTACTCAACCCACTGACTGATGAAGGCTCCATCACGTTTTAGAAAATGTTCTTTTGTGCAAACATGAAAAAAACATAAATACTTCATAGTATTTACATTTTAAAGATCAGTTCATCCAGTTTCAGTTCCCATTATTCTTACTTAAAGACATGTTTGGTTTTATTTCTCTTGGTTTTGAGATATGTATTATTAAACTTGGTACCACTGGTGGGGAATGAAGAAAATATGTTGTTGTTGTTGTTGTTGTTGTTTTTTACAGCAAGTGGAATCAATGCCTCATTAAAATTTAACCTTCAGTTTTTTTGCAGGACTGTTGTACTGTTAAAATGCATTAGTTTCAGATGGGTGTGCCTAATAAACTGGCAACTGAAGTTGCTTAAATGGTCACAGATTTTCTCTACAGCCTTTTTAGGATCAATCAGCAAAAAGATGTCACACCTCAGTCTCTGATGAAGATTATTTTTGGGCTTTTAAAGTTAGAAATCTTTCCTCAGTGTTGACGTTAAAAAGTGGTGAAGTGAAGGAAGCTGTTTACAGCCTAGAAATAATAAAAGGACATTTTTGGAATATGCTCCCGAATAGAAATAAAATAAACCTTCAAAGTGTTTATATTTACAGACTCTTTTTAACCTGGGTCTGATGTGAGCGCTGTCTGGTCTGTGTCCCTGGTTTTCATCCTCAGAGCCAAACTCCTGGAGAGTGAAGCTGTGAATGAGAATCTGAGGAAGAATCTGTCTCGCGCCTCCACCCGTCAGTCGTTCTACGGAGGGTCCGGCTCCTTCTCCTCCTCCATGCTGCCCCCTGAGAAGGAGACCTCGGATATCATCGAAATGGCCAAGAAAGACCTGGAGAAGCTGAAGAAACGAGAGAAGAAGAAAAAGAAAAGGTAATAAGACCGTTTAGAACTGCTGAGGTCATTTGTCATTAACAAAACATGTGATGGGTAGGTCATCCGGCTGTCGTGTCGTGTTGCATAATCAGCTGTGTTTACATCTGAATAAGTTTCAAACTGGATTGGCTCTTCTTCTATGATTTTATTCCAAACTATACAATTTTTCTTCAATGGCATATCTCTAATCACATATTGCCGTCAGAAGTCACTTTGACTTGTTATGCATTTTAATTTAAAACATTGCTTCAATATACCATTTGGTGAATGGGAACATTCATATTTTATTGCTTTTGGGCTTAAAGGAGCTATTTGTACATTTTAGCATGAACAGCTGTGTGGGAGAGAAATCTTCACTCAGGCCAGATGAGTTCAGATCCTCCACCACATGACTTTCAGACTCAGTTAAAACACAAACAATCTTCTGAGTTCAAGTCAAAATGCAGCAACAAAACCGAGCTCAGTCCCGGGAGTGAAATGAGTTCTCTCTTTTGTGCATCTTGTATAAGCTTGTTCACTCTACCAGCTGTGGGCAGTATCTGGCTGCCCTCTTTTCATTATGGTGAAACTCTTGTACCCAGACACCATTGTTTCTGAAGATCGGTAGTTTCTCATCTTAGCTGATTTACAACGGTGATTTCGTCTTCTTAGTGGAAGTTCTCAAAAATACACTCACACTACACATCATTGAATGCAACCCACTGTCATTCTCAAAAACATTGGCAGGCCACTGTCCCTTTATCAAACACAATTTGCTGACGTCTTTGATAAAACAAGCAGAACACTCAAGCATGATTAAAACACACCTGTTAGATTAAAAATGTTTCCGCGTTCAAGCATCAAACTTCATTCCTTTACTCACCAACAGCTGTCTCCAGCGATGGAAAGCAACTCTTGTTTTGTTTCTATTTTTATCTTCTTTTTTTTTCTACTGAAGTTACCATGCTAACTAGCTAGCTCTGGCCCGGTCCGGCTGTCGTCTTTTTCCGATACTGAGTCACTGTAGTGTCCTGTCTGCCCTTAAGAAGTAGCTGCTCAGAGGACACATCATAACCTTACAATACAACACAACGATGGCAACAACAAAGCTTTTGCCAAGACTGGTGAGTAAACAGGAGTTATTGCTAACGGTGGCTGTGTAGCGTTTTGCAACACGTACAAATAGCTCATTTAATGTCCTGATCTCTAAACTCACTTAGCTTAACAGATGATAATTCATTTAGACACATGAGACAATGTAGATGAAATACAGTGGGGTCCAAAAGTCTGATGCCAAGTTCCATTTGAATGGGAGCCCACTGTATGTGCTAATAAACCAGTGCTAATACATAGAAGAATTTCTTTGATAATAAATCTACAGCAGCGTTAGAGACTGATCAGAGGCTCCAGGTTGAAAATGATCAGAGTTTGCTGTCGGGCACTTTGGGGGGATAAACGTTGGGGTTTTCAGTGCAGAGCTTCCTCTGACCATTCTCCCCTCCATTCTTCCTTCCTCCGTTCATCTCTTGCTTCCTTCTCTCGTTTGACCCTTCACCCCTCCGTGAAGACTCCAGCAGCTGTTGGAGCAGAGGGAGAGGGAGGAAAGGGAGGAGGTGGTGGAAGAGGTTGAGGACGCCAGGTTTGTCAGAGCTTCCACCCTCCTGTTGCCACTCCCATCCCTTGCTTCCCCTAATTCAGCTTTTTATTTTAACTTTTTATTTTTTTTAAGCAGGTATTTTTCCCTACCCGGAGTAAAACATGCTACTGTAGCAGCACTTCACCATTTTTACCATTTCAATAAACCTTAATCTCTCTTTAGATTTTCTTTGTGAACCCATTTGCTCATCCAGTGATCTTTCATGCTACGTCCCTGCTTTCTATTGCATCTTTTTTGTGTTTTTACTGAAGTATTTTTATCTTGAAGTATTCAAGACAAACTGGAACAAGTCAGCAGGTGTCTGTTAGGAGAAAATTTCAACACAATAAAGTCAAGGTTCATAACACTCTAGTTTATGCTTTTATGAAAACATTTATCCCCATATATCCATTATTTCTGTTGAAGGTCTTAAGTGTCTTGAAGGTTCCTTATGGTTCAGCGCACAGGCAAAATCTGTGTCTTTATTGTTTCTGGCAGACTGTGTGCAAAATGTATTAAAACAGTGTAACAGCAGACGGCAAATCCCTCTTTTCTGTTCTGTGTTAATCTTTCCTATCCAGATGATTTTATTGTGAAACACCACCTAAACATTGCCAGCCCTCTGTGTTTGGATAAAACACTTATCCAACAGATCTGCTTCATGGATTTGGTTCATGAATTTCCTTTTGTGCGCTGCATTTTCCCTCCATGCTTTTTGCTTCTGCTGGTTTTGTTCAGACTCTTATGAGATGCCTCCCTCCTTTCTTAAAAAAAAAAACTTGTCTTTTTCACAAATAAGCAAATGAAAAGGAAGCAGCAGCATCTCAGTATTCAACTAATAGCTTTCTGTGTATGTTTATGGTGCATGTAAACAATGCATAAGTATTACAGTACATTCAATCCTAAAGTCAGCAGCTTTATTGCTACACTGTGGTGAAGCCCATTAAAAAGCTTATTTGCCAAAAAGACTTTACAAATTAAATGTATTGCAACTAAAAAAAAAAGTCTTTATTACCCACAGATGTATTGTTACTTTACTGTATTGTTATGATAAAGATATGCTTAATGTTTACTTGTGTGTTACAGTACCTGTGAAGATGCACTTTGGATAAACCTTGTGTTCTGCTCAGTAAATATTCATGACATAATCGCAGCAGATATTTGACGTCTTTGACTCATCACCGTGTCTGAATCTTCCAGCGCCAATAAGGAGGAAATCCCTGACAACGAGCAGGAAAAGGGCACAGAGAAAGAAATGACGGAGCGAGTGAACGAGGACGCAGATATGGTGACTGACATCTTGTTTCACATTTACATTGAACCAGCATTGAATATGTTGAGAAGTGCGTTCAGATGTTAATTGTTTGTTTGTTTTTAATGTAGGAGGTCCAGGAGGGCAGCGACCATGAGGAAGCGGAGGAGGAAGAGGAGGAGGAAGAGGAAGAGATGGACGTGGAGGAGAGCTCTGATGATTCTGACTCTGAGTCCGATGAGAAAGGTATGAGGGACTCTCTCAAGTCAACAAACAAAAACTATCTGTAGACAAACACACTCAGTCACTTTCAGTCAGCTGCAGTTTCTCCACAAGGGGGAGCTGTGAAGTCACTGTCAGACCAGCTCCACAAACGTAAACCTCACTCATACTGTAGGAAAGGAAACCATGTTTTCCATACAATAACACATGTGTTTATAGTGGTCCATATGTAGGTGGAGCAACAGGAAACATTTAAGGTGCATCAGTGTAGAACAGGACCAGAGAGAACTGCATTCAAACTGAGGCACCTGAGCTAGATGAGACCTGCCCTATATTTCTTTGACTTACTCCATATTCAATATATAACAAAACTGAATACCCAACAACGCTATCACTAAAATGTTACAATAATTGTATCCTAAGTCAAAGTGCAGGGTATTTGATCTTACATATAATGAAAAACAGGTCAGACTGACAACATTGAAATACAGGCCCTGAGGCCACTGGTCTGTAGTGTTGGTCCAGTCTTCATTTGGCTCATAGATCAGTCTGTCAATCAGACCGTTTCACAAAAATAAAGACTGACTCATTTTAGGCCAAAAACATTAGACACCTTACCCACATGCTAACTCAGGTCTAAGACCAATGTTACCATGGTAACAATCAATGACACCCATGCTGAGCAGTAGCACCCAACAACAAAAAAACAAGAAAACATGGCACTTCATTTGTGGTTTGCTAATATTGTTATGGAGAGAGTGATGAGAAAGGAACGAGTTTTTAGAGACTGCAGCCATTTTTTTTTCCAAATCTGATTTTTTTTTTTTTTTGTCTTTTTATAGTTTCACTCTTCACTGAATTTCCAAAGTAAAACATCCTTGTAACTGTTGAATTCTTCCAAAAGATACAGGGCTAAACGGAGCTGAGCGGTTGGATTAGGTCGGCCATTTTTTTTGTATTAATTTACCCAGAATTCATTGTACCACAGTCCGGCTTAAGATAGTCAAGAACTACTTGTGCAACAGATGAATTCACACGTCTGTCTGAAGTCTGACTGTTCGTTATATCTAAGACACAGTCAACAACTGTCTTTGTGAGACTGACCCCTCAAGTACAACGTCAATACAACAAAAGTGATTTGCTCATGTGATTTCCAATTAAAGTTAATTGTGTGAACAAGTTTATAAAATATCCTGTGAACGCCACAGCTTCCTCTGTGTTGGCCTGGGCTGAGTCTAATGTAACATGGCTGCACATAGTGAAGAGCTGCCTGAACAAGTAAGAAGATCAAGAGACTTGATAAAGATGGAAGAGTGTATGAGAATCAGTGGACTACTGAAACTGAAGAAAGTCTTAAACTTCAGCCCGAAATCTAAGTGTACGGATGGAATATTAGCACAATCAATTTGCTGATTATTGCCTTGTTACCTAGATTGGTTATTGTATGATATAGGCTTCAGTTAGCAATAAACAATTAATTAAACAGTATACCATGTCCGCCTCAGGGGAAGTCTGGGGTAGAAGGAGTTCTGCATGTTGAGGTTGAATGTGATGATCTGTGTCTAACAGAGAACTACCAGGCAGATCTGGCCAACATCACCTGTGAGATCGCCATCAAGCAGAAGCTGATAGATGAGCTGGAGAACAGCCAGCGGCGCCTTCACACACTCAAACAGCAGTACGAACAGAAGCTGATGATGCTGCAGTGCAAGATCAGGGACACCCAGCTGGAGAGGGACCGCGTCCTCCATAACATGAGTAAGACAAGAATTTCAGATGGAGGCGGGAGGGGGGGGTTGTATCACTTTACATGATGTATCAATCATGCTCTGGCAGTTTGGATAAAAACATCCACCAAAAGACATACTTTATATGGGTTTGTTTTTAACGTTTCTGTCTTTTGATCAGTTTATTTCAGTCTTGAAGTATATCTGAGTTCTTGCTTGTCCTACTTTGATTTGAAAGAAGTTATAACGTCTGATCTCAGCTTTTGTTCTTTAGTAATGAAAAAACACTTGACTGTTTGAGACTTCAGAGAATCCTTGAGTCAGTTGTGAATGTTTGTGCCAGCAGCCTGATGATGACAGTTACATTCATGTCTGTCAGCACTAGTGGATCAAAGCTTTGTCTTACACGGATTTTAAAAGCGTGGAGGAGAAGGCGGGATCTCTAATTATGAAAAAAAAAAAAAAAAAAAAAAAAAAAAGAGACTTTTTGACAAATGAAAGATGAGGTTTCTGACGATAAACCACCAGAGAAAATATGTTTGTATCTGCAGTACAATGTCACTGTTACATATGAAACTCTACTGAGTAAAAGTAGATGTTTCCTTCCTGATGCCAATTCTGTATTGGGAACTTGTGCATGGGCTGATACTGAGTACTGATCTGATTGCTCAGGTTAAACCCTTTGTAAAACATGAACAAATACATGAATGAGATAGAATCTTTCTTTTATTATCTAATTTGACCATCAATCATAAAAAAATTAATCTGGGAATGAATAAAACTTCCTACACTAGTTGTCCTGACACTAGTGCCACCGCTCAAAATTAAATCCTAGCAGACTGTACACGTAGCCTTTTTACCGGTGGTACTTCCCAGTCTAACATTTTACCAAATTGCTAACATTACACTATTTACCAGAAATCAATTATTTGCTGATTTTAAAACAGTAGTTGCCAGCGGCTGCACAGCACAGCTTCCTGTGTAGGCTGCTGTTTTAGAGCAGCGAAGAAGAATTTATTAAACTGCCGTTTAATCCTTGTGTGAAACTAATTTATATTATTGATAAATAACATGGTATCACATCGGTACATGAAATCTCATACTCACCGATACCCGATCCAGTATTTTAGGTAGTATCAGAGTCATTTCAGATACTAGTATCAGTATCAGAACAACTCTAAGTAAATGTGATTTAATTATGTAACATCTCAAACTTTTTACAGCATTTTATAGCTTTTTTCATGGAAGATCAGTTGATTGATCAAGGATTTTTGTGTCGCATACTTTCAGCTTCAGTAGAGAGCGGCACAGAGGACAAGGCTCGCAAGATCAAGGCTGAATATGAGAAGAAGCTGAGCGTCATGAACAAGGAACTGCAGAAGCTGCAGTCTGCTCAGAAGGAGCACGCCCGCCTGCTCAAGAACCAATCACAGTACGAGAAGCAGCTGAAGAAGCTTCAGATGGACGTGGCGGAGATGAAGAAGACGAAGGTTTGATAAGTTACTGAGACTGATTGTGATAATGTTGCCCTGTGATGCGTCTGGTGGAAACTCGAGGCGTAGTTTAGTAGCATGTTTTTGTGTGATATCCACTGTGTCTTTTTTTTTTTTGTGTGTGTGGTTGGAAGAATTTTCTTCCACTTGAATTAAATATATTTGACATATCTCTCATAAATGATGTTCTGGTAGCATCAGAAACATGCAGCAGCTTAATTTAATGAATTTGCTTTGTGTCTCAACTGTCTTTCTTGTAAATTTCCATTTGACTGTCTTTACCCCACTTTGTTTTAAAAACAAAAAGGAAAAAGACTCAAAGCTAATGAAGATGTTCAGTAGGCAGACAGTAATCAACAAGCAGCAAGGATGAAGAAAAAGTAAAGATGGAAGATTTGAGAAATTATCCATAAATTAAAGAGATTTCACAACAGAATATTAATTTCTCCATATTTGTATATAATGCATATAATGTGAATATTTTTGATTGACTTGTTCCAGGTCCGTCTCATGAAGCAGATGAAGGAGCAGCAGGAAAAGAACAGGATGAACGAATCTCGCAGAAACCGTGAAATCGCCACCTTGAAGAAAGACCAGCGCAAGCAAGAGGTCTGTGACAGGGAGGTCTTCCCCAGACTCTTTAGCTTCAGCTGCCCATTAGTTTACATCTTTTCATTTAACTCATTGTGTTGACACTAGACTTTTTCTTCCTCAGCATCAACTGAAGTTATTGGAGGCTCAGAAGAGGCAGCAAGAGCTCATTCTGAGGAGAAAGACTGAGGAGGTGACTGAGGCTTTATCTACTGTATTTATGTTCACTGTATTTTGAGTTGCATTTAGTCCTGGTTATTTTTTGTAATTGAGAAAGTCAATTAAATAAAGTAAAGTCTCCCAGTTTCACTTTCCGCCTGTAAAAAAAGGAGAAACACTGCTTTTGTTTATGTGTGGGCGTACACATACAGACTGCAGGCAAGTGCACGTGGTACGCTTTTAGTATTCGCCTGTCCTCACTTCTGTGTGTTTGCGTGTGTGTGTCAGGTGACGGCTCTGAGGAGGCAGGTCAGGCCCACCTCAGGTAAGGTCATCAGGAAAGTCAACCTCTCAGACTCACTCCAGGACTCCACCCACAGACCTCCATCTGGACGCATGTACTCCTCTGGCAACACAGCTCCCAACGGGACTCGGTGAGTCTGTTTCCATAGAGGCAAATATGGAAGGCTACTAAATATAGAGCCACAATGTGCCTTCTACTGTAAGTGTTCATCAGTAAGACGCTGTTACCGTCATAAGAAAATCCTATTGATCTCTAAAATGTAACATAACACGTTATTTTATCAGGAAAAAACACAGACTGTTAACTGACTTAACTCACTCGTTAACCAGCTCTGGAACATTATCTAATTTATCTACATCAGGCTTCCCGAAAGTGCACAGAAGTGTTAAGTCATTCGATTGATTAATCAATAACATTATTGACTGATACTGTGTGTGCAGTTTGACCTACAGGCGTACAGTGGGTATTTACTCCACCAGAATCGCTCGTAATAAATGGCAGTCTCTGGAGCGACGGATCTGTGATGTCATCATGCAGAGGATGACCATCTCCAACATGGAGGCCGACATGAACCGCCTCCTCAAGGTAAGGTCCTGCAGCACTGCACACTTACATGGATGGTTACTGCAGGGAATATGCATGTAGGCAGGGGAAGGAAAAGTCAATACCCAGCTAGCCACAGTCATGTTGTAGTGAACTTTGCCTTTGGGCTGCACCCCGCTACGTCACACTCACACACCCCTAGATGGATGAATGGCTGATTTTAAAAAAGCAATATGGCGCGTACACATGAGCTGACATACTCACACACACAGGAAGACGTCAGTCAGTATCAGTCACTAGCCTGCCAACCCCTGACGGCAAGTAAAAAGTTTGCAGGAGCTTGCTGCCTTGGAACACACGACAAAGCTGCAACCTTGCAAAGAGGGTTCACTCTGTAGTAACAGGCTCAACTATATGTAGAAAGTCTCTGATCTGGCAAACCGCTCTAGATGACGTACGCCAAAATGTAACCAGTGGAAGTGGATGAGGGGGATGGTTTTTGTAGGGGGGATGAAATTTGTTGTGAAACAGAATGCGACCAAGCCAAAATTGTAATTGAAAATAAAATTTGATGAATCGCCCAGTTCTACTGTGGGCAACACAGAACATGGCTGTGTTGTTGCGTTTCTTGCTTGCCACTGTATTTGGTGTGTACAGGTAGTCTGAGAGATTGGTACTCATATCAGTTCCAGTTATTATTACATGAATGACCCTGACCCACATCCGGCTCAACAGCCAGTAACTGCTACAAAGTAACTTTAGGTGTAACAGTCGGCTTTATCAAAAATGTTCAGTGTGTAGGAGAGGAAGTAACACTTTTTCAAAAATGTAATGTCCTTAAATGTAAAAGCTCATCCTACACACACACTACAATATACTGAGCAATAGTAATGCACAGATTTATACATTTCCACATCTGTATTCTGCTTGTTTTCCCAGTCAAATGTTCAAACACAGTAAAACAATGTTGAATTTTTGAACAGTTGTTAATAATTCACACAAACGTCTGACATTAGAGAGGTGTGAGAGTCATCTGGCAGATGTCTGGCAGACGTGCTGACGTGTCTTTAGCTTTGTGGTAGATAGAAACCTCAACTGCCTCTCAGCAGTGTCAATCCATCATCAGAGGGACTTTCTGTTTTGACCTGGAAGTCGTCAGGACAGAATACTGGTATTGAGGCACGGTCAAAGGTCACACAGCCAGTGGTGGATGAGCCTGAACTATGGGACCTGTAAGTGAAATGGACAGATTTATCCCGAGCCTTTAGCCAGTCACAACTGAATGGTTGTTTCTGTTTCAAATCCTGACCTTGGCCTTCAGTCTTTAATTAACTGCTATGTTATCTTATCATTGCATGACTCACCATCATCATTCGGCTGTGAAAACAAAAAAAACATGTCCTGTCCTCTCTGTCTGTGTCTATAGCAACGGGAGGAGCTGACCAAGCGTAAGGAGAAGGTCATCAGGAAGAGGGAGCGGCTGCTCAGGGAGGGGCCAGAGGCAGAGAAGGCGGTGCCTCCCCTCAACGAAGAAGTGGATGCGTTGACAGCGAACATCGACTACATCAACGACAGCATCGCAGACTGTCAGGCCAACATTATGCAGATGGAGGAGGCCAAGGTGAGAGAGCCTGATGAGTCAGGAGTTAATTCACAGTTTATTCAGCTGTACTGGTTGGTCAAATAGATGGATTCAGTCAAATGGATGGAGAAGTTGACAGTTGTGTGAATCATCATTCATGGTGTCTGTTTCCAGGAGGAGGGAGACACAGTGGACGTCTCTGCTGTGATAAGTTCTTGTACCCTGGCAGAGGCTCGTTTCCTGCTCGATCACTTCATGTCAATGGCCATAAACAAGGTACCAGCACTAATAATGACCAGGTGTCACTACTGTCTGTGTGTGTGGCTTCATTACAACAAACATCATTAAGATGGACAAAACACTCTGCCTGTGGAAGATACCAGCACCACAGCAATGTAAACTTGTCCACCCTTTGGACATAATTATTATTTATTTGTTTATATAATAGGGACCATACAGATAATCATTGATACATACAGGTAAACAATGCAACCAATGTCATGTACCTGTGTAGATATACTATACGGTGTCCATCTGAAGCTAATTTGCAGCACCTGTTCCTGGTCAGGGAGGTAAATTAATGTGCATTGACCGACAAAATGTATTTTAAAATGTGAAGTCTATTTAAAGTGGGTTTCTATAAGGTTTTGTCAGGTTGTAAAGTTTTGTAATTACAGTAAATGTAATGAATACAAACACTGTTGCATATCTGCGTTGTGACCTTCTCAGGGTCTGCAGGCAGCTCAGAAGGAGTCCCAGGTGAAGGTGATGGAGGGCAGGCTGAAGCAGACGGAGATCACCAGCGCCACACAGAACCAGCTGCTCTTTCACATGCTGAAGGAGAAAGCCGAGTTCAACCCGGAGCTGGACGCCCTGCTGGGGAACGCTCTGCAAGGTAAGAGCAGCAGCTGTTTGGGTTGAGGGAGAAGTGGAGATAAAGACCAGAACACAGACCAGGACGCCTGGTTTAACTCAGCCCACCTCCTGGAAGCATCGGTAGAATTACATCAAGTAAAAGTGAGGTTCAGATTTAATTCTAGGATGATGATGATGGTGATGATGGTGGTGATGGTGGTGATGATTATGATCATGTTTCTCTATAATGAGTCAGTTTTGTTTTTTGCCACGTCTGTTACAAAGCATTTGGCCTTCCAGGAAGTGGACTGTGTTACTGGTCACTTGCATGATTGGGTTTATTGAGATGCTCTTGCCTGTCGCCTTCTGCTGAATAGAAGCTGAACTAATGATTACACAAATGACTTCTACTGTGATCATGTGGTAGTAAAATCGTATTGAACCAAATTTGTAAGTGTTATATATTTTTGCGAGCCTCTCTTCAGCAGGACGCTCTGTTTACAGTAGATGCACTTTATGTTCTTTTTTTGTTTTTGTAGAATTTCGGGGGACTGTGTTTTTGATTTGTGCATTGCCTTTTTTCTGTTCCCCCACGTTTTCTTTTTCTTTTTTTTGTTTTCTTATGTTTTTACAGAGCTAGGTAACATCCCACCTGGTAAGTGAAATTATATTAGACTCTTATCTGTGTTATGGATGCATGGTTCCTTCCCTCTGCACTTTGAAAACTAACTAAACATACAATAACATGAACAGGTGCATGAGGTGCAATGCAACCAGGCTTCCCTCCATCTGTCTGCTGGCCCTTCACTTCCCTTCATCTGGACACACTGCTCCTCCCCCTCTTCCTCCTCCTCTTCCTCCTCACCATGTGCTACAGCCTCCATGCTTTAGCACCCTGCTAACCCCAGACCCTTCCACAGGAACCATACAACATGGATGTTTTAGCTCATTCGGACCCTGTAGGTCAGCTGACCCCATCCGGAGCAACGGACTAATGATAACTTCCACTCCTCCACCTTGTTGTCTCATGTCGGGTCTTTTACCTTTTGCCTCAACTCGCCCACACATCTCTCTCTTTATAACCGTCCCCACCTGGCCACTGTCTGACCTCTGACCTTTCACCTTTTTCAATCCATCTGATCACATTGAGCTCAGTGAGGACCAAGTTTCTGTTTGTGGATAAAACGGCATGGCACTGCGCTGACATTGCCCTCATCTGCTTCCCTCATTCCTTTTTTGATAAAATGAAGAAAACTGTTCACCCTTTAGTGAAATAGAAAAAAAGGATGAATTATTTAGTCTTAGAGAGGTGTACAGAGAGTCGTTTAGCAGTCATCTCAGTCTCAGCATCCAAGAGGGTATTTTCTACTTCTAACATTATTCATTGATCTCATTTGACAGAAAATGGAGATGATAGCAGCAGTGATGAGTCCGCCCAGAGCCCTTCAGCTGAGGGAACGTAAGTTTATATTTTTATTACATTGTTTTATGTTACAATATAATATTCTACTTTACTCTGTGAAGTCATATAAAGCAGTGGTTCTTAAACTAGACCACAGTTTGACACATGAGACCAAAGACTCGCATCGGATCAAATGTTTACTTTTAGATGTTATATATACTCATACATTCTGTCATCGCATTACTTATGGATGGAATTATAGTGAAAATTCTCTTTTTAGCTAGGGACCCCAAGGAACCCCCTAAAGGACCCCTGGGGGTCCCTGTACCCCACTTTGATAACCGCTTATATTAAGAAAGGTTACACTATGCTTTGTTAACTAACATTAGAAGAGCAGAGATAAAAACCTTTATCAAACATTATGCAAAAGGATCCACAATAAGTGAACAAAGGCAATAAAATATGTAAGGAGAATAATTAAGGATGAAACAAAATAAATAAAACACATATCAAACCAAAGGCTGAAACAATGACATGCGTTTTCAGAGGCGATTTAAAAGTTAATGAGCTGAAACATCTGATTTCAGTCAGGAGAGTGGTGAGGGCCTCTTATAGCAAAAGCCCAGTCACCTTTAGTCACAAACCTTGAGCTTGGGGTGTCCAGCAGGGCTTCTTCCACAGATCTCAACTCTTGGGTGAAGACACACCATGTCAATGTATCTGAGATATGATTAAATAGAATTAAACCATTTTTTTTTTTTTTTTTTTTTTTTTTTTTTTTAAATCAATCTGAAATCTAACAGGGCGCCAATGTAGGGAGGAAGTACCAGAGTAATGTGACTGTACCTGTTTGTTCCAGTAATAAGACGAGCAGCAGCAGTTTGTACTATGTACTATCATGACAAGATTTTATGGTATAGTATATAACTTGGTTTATTGTGTTTATCTTATGTTTATGTTTAAATTCATTTTATGTTATGTTGATGTATTTAATTTTACATTTATGTTGTATTATGTGGGATTGTTATATACACTGTTGATGTTGTATTTATGTTATTTTATGTTTTATTGTTATATTATGTTCATGTCATGTTTCATGTTGTGTTATATGATGTTTTATGGTACATATTAAAGTATATTACATTATTTTGGTTTGACTAGGCCCCTATGTGTGTATATGTGATTTCATGGTTCCTTTTGTCTGTTTTGTACATTTAGCTTTCAAGATAGGCTCAACTTCTATTGTGTTATTGTGTTATGTTGTTTTTATTAATACTCACATACAGTATGAAACTCTTTTTTCTTCCAGCACTTTAGCATCAGATCTCATGAAACTCTGTGGAGAGACCAAAACAAGGAGTAAGGTATTACACAGTTTATTGTGTTTATGCCTCAGTTTCCACATAAACCCATCTTCTTTCTAATCCTAATTTTCCACCTTCATCTGTGCTGCACAGGCTCGTAGGAGGACCACCACTCAGATGGAGCTGCTGTACGCAAACTCTGACTCTGCCCCCGACGCGCCCACCGCAGACTTCTCCAGTCCGATGCTGCCGTTAGCTGAGACACCAGAAGGGGGAGGAGACACGGACACGTCAGGCTCATCAGTCAGGGACTACACAGCTCTCTCCCCCGGCTTTTCCTCTAAAATGGGCAGCATGTAAGTCCAGGCCCGGCACTCTTTGCTAACACATTAATTGCTACCTCCTTGCTGCCTGCATGTTTGATGTTGCTGCTTCATCCTCTGCTTCATTTAATTTTGTTTCACATTATTCATGAGCCTCCTTACATCTGTACCTTCCTCCACCTGAGGAGTTGTTTGACGTAAAAGCATGCAGACAGGAGCAAATATTAACATTTGTATGGCCCCTGCATAAACTACCTTTCTAATCCCTTATTACAGCTGAGTGACACACTGGAAGCAAATATACTAACAGACCGCTTTAACTGGCTTATGAAAGGCCATGCTTCAGACCTGGGTGTACATTGACTTGTATATAAAAAAGAGCCTTGGCTGACAGCAATCCATCAGCAGATACAGTAGTGCAATTATATGTTAGAGTAGCACAAAACCTGCACAGTATCCTCAGTAGTTAAAACATGAGCTTGGCGAAGAACCACCTCTGTTTTGGGACTTTAAACATCAGGTAACTGTGTTTCTGTGTGTACTGCATGCTTCTTATTGTTGCCATTATTTTATGTTTGTTTCACATCCTTCTGCTGTTTTATTATTATTTCTGTATACTGTCTTTGTGTTGTTTGTGGATGAATTGATGAAACTGAACGCTCAGTTCTGGCTCCAGAACCTCGTCAGTGGTGGAAAGGCGAGCTCCGGAGCCTTCCCCGCTCTCTCGCAGGAAGACCTATGACAAGGCGTACGCAGCGGCTGACAGGGCAAAGGTCAAGGAGATTAAACAGTAAGAGCTTGGTGCCGATGTTGCGGCTGCAAAGCCAGAAAAATAAGCGAAATAACTTCAACTTCAACTCTATTAATACTTCTTCTCTCGATTTCCTGCTATGCAGAAGCATGTGGTGTCAGACTAAATCACAGATGCTCTTCGCCTGGTGTGATAACCTTTGACCTGCCAAGTTCTATGCTGAATTTAACGTCTTCTTAGAGCTGTAATGGTGATAATTGGTGATACCCTCTTTTCACTCCTGGTACATTTGACTCAAATTCAGTGTTCAACTTGCTAATCAATCCCTCTGCTGCTAAACATTTTAATTATTGAGGAAATCTCTGTCCTTTCCCTTTCCTTGTCTTTGGAGTAAATTTTGTGAGTGAGGGAGAAAGTGCTGGGTGAACTGATCATGTGGAGACAACTTGTATTTACCTGTTAAACATCCAACATAGTAGATTACTTTAAAGTTCATAAGTGTGTTAATTATACTTTTGAATAGTAATCACTCAATATGTCTTTTTTTTGTTGGCATGACGTGCACATGCTTACCTCTGTGCTTTGTGCACACGAGCTGTTTGCCAACCTGACGCACGCATGGTCAGTGTGAGTGCATGTGGTCAGTTTGAGAACTGAATATCGCTGCATTCATGTCATATGGCAAAGCCAGTAAACGCCACTTTATTACATGGCTGTTTGTGATTTCACAGAGAAGATGATCCATTATTCTTTTTTAAAGATTGTTTTTTTATTTGGAAATGTTTTCTTTGTTGATGGAGGAAATAACTAGGAAGTAGAACAGTCTCTGACCAGACTTGAATCAGGCTGCTGCAACATTGTGTGTTTTGTCCACTGGGCCGCCAGAACAGCACCTGACAGAATAAACCCTTGAGGCTACGACATGGCATTTACTCTGCCACCACCCTCGGGTGAAACATGACATTTTTAATGGACGAGGATCTAATTAGTCTTTTTTTTTTTTTTTTACACAGTGCTCACTGCACGAGCATTATAGCTTCACACATGCTTGGCTATTAATAGATTTAAGCTGCTGGTAGAAGATACTTTGATGAAACATGTTTTATGTCAGTAATATTTACATCTTCACACCAAAACCTCCAGGTCATTTTCCCGTGTTACAGAGAGAAACCTCCAGAACAAATTATTCACAACATTAAAGGAATGTATGTTGGACAGACTGTAAAGCCTTTTGATTTGGGTTTTATAAATAAAGTTGACTTGAATCGAGTTAATGCTGACACCAGACCACTGAATCCCTGTTTAGGCTTTTAACTACTGTAAAATGTTTTCTGGAGCTCTGGTGAGGCAGGAACCTCTGTTACTGGATATGTTGACAGAATGATACTGGTCTGAAATAAAAAATACTGATAAACCCAGTAAAGCACATCGAGCAGTAAATCTTTACAGCTTCAGATGAGTTTGAACGTACAAACACTTTACTGTCAAGCTGTGCTGACAGTTGCTCCCCTATGACGTGAATGCAGCATATGCGTCCTCCTTCTGTCTTCATGTAGTCCTCCCACACTTCTGCCACCAGTGTGTAAACAGCTTAGCACACACTTTAATTATGCTGCAGCTTAATTGGCAGCCCCACTGTCTTCCTTCACAGCCCAGTCATCAGGAACCTGAAGAGCAGCCCACCACTTCCTGTCCCCCCAACCGCTCGTCCCAGTAACCACGTCGTCGTGTTTAGCCGTATGACAGGGTATCTGGGGCGTACTGCATGCGTCCTGCAGGATAAGTAAGAACCAAAGATAAGTCAAATCGACACCAGCCTGACAGAGAGTCAGATTAGAGCTGGGGATGAAGCCAGGGCCACTGCACTCCAGAATCTGTCAGTTCCTCAAACATTGGCTAAAATCTGTTTCCTGTTAATGTAGCAATTAAGCACTCATGTCGATATGTACAAGTACGGACACATTCTGATCATGAAGTGAAGTATTGTCATCATTTTGATTATCGTGTAGTGTTTTGCAATCTAAAGTGCACACTGTCAGTACAAACCAGACTGTACAAGTGTCCTAACACATTACTAGTGGTGTCGCGCATCTTAATGCATATTGTTACTGATCAAAGCATACCCTAGATCTGAAAATCTATGTTCCACCTTCCATGCAGTCGTTCTTTTCCATTCATTTAGCGGTAATGAATATAATGGAAATTGATTTAAACAGACTTGCAGGTGACAGTTCATCATAGTAAACATCTAGTTTTCAGATGCAACACGATGATGTCAGGTGTTTACAGCCGTTTTCAACGACATCCTCAATTTCGACCATTGACCACACGCTGTCCTGCCATATACTAGTTTGTGACCTACTCTTGTTTTTGGTCAGAAGGATTCTTCAGTCAGATGCCAGAAGACTTTCATTTTTAATCCAAGAAAGAGCTTAATATCAAATTTATTTTTCCATCACGTCCTTGTTTTCTTGATGTTTGATAAGGAAGTGTTTTCAAAATAAGAGGTTTACAAATGTGTTCCTGTGGCTGTGTCCAAAATCACTCCTGTTGACTTCCTTCCTTATTTTCTGCATAATAAACACCCAATAGTCTTTATACAGTAGTCGGTAGTACATTAAGATTTCAGACACTTTTATTTACAAATAGTAGTTTACACGTCTATCAGATTTAAAGCATTGAAGCAAAAAGTAGTTTATGTGCCATGGACGCAACTGCTGTGTTCCCATTGTGGGACTTTTTGAGGGCACCACAGAATATTTCTTCTTCTCTTATAACAATAACAAAACAGTTGTTCTGGTGTGACCTGGCTGCATAGAAGGTAGAAAATGTTTGTAGCTGAGGTGTGCTACACCACTGGTAAGGTATAGACTAACGTTACATGATTGTTTTGATTTTAAAATACTTTATCATTCATGAGCTCGAACTAGAATTAGCTCTTGTTGAAGTTCAGTTGTACCAAATAAAGATTGATGAGGAAAAAATTAAGGAACATGATAAGAACAGGAAGTAATTAGTGTTTCAGGAGCTATCAGGAGCTAATCAGCTCTCAGGTTTATTGGATATTCTTTTCCACCGCAGGATGGACGGATGCCTCCACCTGTCCTCCAACCACATCCTCCGCTCTGGTTCTCCTCCTCATTCCGACCCGCCCAAGTACAACTTTGTTTTTTATTTGTCACAAGGTCCTCTCAGACTTCACCTGTGGTGCTCAGGGCAGAGGTGAAGCTGAAACACAGATGCATATGGTGTGGGTTCCACCCTCTTCTCATCATGACCGACACTTGTGTGGACAAATGTCACAGCTGAGTGTGGCTGTAGGGCGGAGAAGCAGCTCATCAGACCGTCCAGTAACCAGAGCCTCCCAGAGGTTCCCCCCCTCACTGCTGTGGTGTCCTTGTGCATGAACCAGACACAACCAGTTAATGTGGTTAAAAACCATGGATGGATATCCTCTCTGGGATCGGTGGATAATGACAATAAACCCAAACAGTGTAATCTTGTTAAGCTTATTACTGCTATCGAGCCTGAACCCTCAACCCTCTATTTATTAGTCTTGTTTCATCTCATTGGAGCTTTTACTTTTCACTCTGCGGCTCATTTAAACCTCATTCATCTACAAGTCCTGACTATCGACGTCTTGATCTGTGGCACACCACCAGCTCGTCCTGCTGCTCCTCTGACACTGACAGAAACAACTGTTACAGAGCAGTGGCTGTACAATTACACTATCAGATGCCAATTTGTCAACACAAGCAGCCAATTAGAGATTGATCTGAGTTCTTGTGATGCTTTTCAACTTGCATCCCATGATGATCCAGCACTCCTGCTTTCCAATGATCGTCTGTCTTTGTGTCTTTGGGTGTTTGTTTTAAATCTATTACGAGCTGGACAAGAGAAGCATCTGAAGATACAGCCGTATTTTTAGATCCTTCTTCTTCTTCAGCATAATAAGGGTGACTGTTCACAGCTGTCTCCTCATTTTCTTCTGGACTGTTACTGTCATTTCTCTCTGTTTTTGATTTGCAGCGTCGTGCTGATCAGCCACGAGAGCTGCATGCTGTGCATGACTCTGGTTGTGTGGGTGTGATTTAGCTCTGCGCTGCACTCAGACTTTTAGACAGGGTTATGTCAAAACTGTACCAACTGATGATTGTGTGTGTGTGTGTGTGTGTGTGTGTGTGTGTGTGTGTGTGTGTGTGTGTGTGTGTGTTTTCAAGGGGCGTGATTAACCCGGTGCCACCCACTAAAAGCAGCCGCTCGGCGACGTTGCAGTGTGTCCATGTGGCAGAGGGACACAGTAAAGCTGTTCTCTGTGTCGACTGCACTGATGACCTTCTCTTCACTGGATCCAAAGGTCAATACCCACAACCCTCCCTGCCTCCTTCTTTCCTCACTCTAACTCTTTTTATTTATACACTTTGACACGCTGTTATATAACAGCAAATAAAACCTGACAGGAACTAATTAAGATTTTCATCTGCACAGTATATAAATAAATGAGCTAATGAAATAAAATGACATCAGACAGAAAGTAAAACTCTTATGCTGGAGGAGCTTTTAAACGTGATAAACTGAGGTAAATAATACAGGCAGTCAGCTCCACAATTATACCCACAGATAAATCAGCTGCTGTGTTTGGTTTTGTTATAAGGGAGAACCTGTACCATGCTGTAAGATTAACTTCCTGTCAGTCTTGATCTTGAGCTGTTCTCTGTTGCTCCTCCTCTGAGCTCTCTGCCTGTATTTCTAATGATGCAGTAAATGACAGACTGTGTGTTGTCCTGCAGACCGGACCTGTAAGGTGTGGAACCTGGTGACGGGTCAGGAGATAATGTCCCTAGCCGGTCACCCCAACAACGTGGTGTCAGTCCGCTACAGCTCCAGTTTGGTCTTCACTGTCTCAACCTCCTACATCAAAGTGTGGGACATCCGGGACTCGGCCAAGTGCATCCGAACTCTAACGTGAGTGTGACTGTCTCGATGCCCTGTACGGTGGCCCTGAGAGCTCAACACACTGCAAACAGACAAAACACAAACCCATTCAGAAAACGTCTTCATCAGTTTGACAACACATGCACTGCAAGTACTCACAACACAACCGAGGTGTTTCCAGCGGAGACTAAAAGGTGATGAGGGGGCGCCCCAGTGGTTCACCTGGTCGAGGGCGTAGCATGAAGGCGTAGTCCTAACCGCAACGGCACGGGTTTGAGTCCAACTTGCATCATACATCATGCATTCATGTGCACTTGTCCAATGCTTTTAACCTCAAAGGTCACAAAGCATTAAACAACAACAGGTTCATCACTTTTACTGTCCCCCTGGAAACATTTCAGTCGTGTTGTGAGTATTTGCATTGCATGTGTTGTGATGTGCATGTTTTCTGAATGTGTTTGTGTTTTGTCTGTTTGCGGTGTGTTGAGCTCTCAGGGCCATCATACATTTGGCTTGTCATTTTTAGCAGAACTTCAGCACGAGCCTGATACACTGTATGTTCTCACCACAAGCAGCTAAACAGGACACACAGGTTCACTCCATGCCGTTACATTTTCCATACATGTTGAACTCACATTGAACTCCCTGCAGTATGAGCTTGGTTATGTTTTGCTTTATTTACTTTATGTATAAAGTGACAAGAGGTGTAGAAGGAAATGTATGTGTTTGTCACCCTTGTTTAAAAATCTGTGAAAATATACAAATGTGTTAAAAGTTCCTAATTCTTCCTAATTAAATCTTAAAATAAAATATAGCACCAGAATTCATCAGTGTGCCTTAAAGCTGCAACACTGTCATCTGTTATGAAAGTGTTATGAGATTGTGTTGCTGCAGCAACAGCATTTAATGATTTCATCAGGAATTCTTGACAAGATCACAAGTCTGGGTGAGTGGAAGAGTGTTGTTTTTCTACCTGATGCAGGTTCATAAATGTTTCATACACGTGTCCTCAGGTCCTCTGGTCAGGTTAATGTTGGGGACATCTGTGCATCTAGCACCAGCCGAACTGTCGCCATCCCAGCAGGAGAGAATCAGATCAACCAGATCGCTCTCAACCCCAACGGGACGGTTCTGTACGCCGCCGCTGGAAACTCAGTCCGAGTCTGGGATCTAAGGAGGTGAGCACAGGGGCTACATTATATAATGTTATTGATGTGTTTCCGGACACTCAGCAGGTGATGTGTATATTGAGATTAACACAAACATGCTGCCATACTAAATGTTAATGGAAAATTAGATCAGTCATTTTAAACTTTGAGACTGTTTATATTGGTAAAAGTAGTACGTTGCCCTCTTTCTTAAAGAACATGGATATGTGATGATTCACTCAAAATAATATTATTAGTCGCCAGAAAGCTGCATTTTTATTGCAAGACAATGTCAGTGCAAAGATTTTGTTTTGTGTATTGAAAGCCAGACTGACATGAACCCTGCAGGCTGTGTGTTTATCATTCCCACCACCTCTTCTTCACTTCCCACGACACCTCTGCACCACTGTCTGATGCATCTCACACACACACACACACACACACACACACCTTGAGTTGATAACAAAGCCCAATCTATTTTAGCTGCAGACTGTATGAAAACCTGGCTGGTATCTAATCCATCCCTGTCATCCATCATTAGCTGACTGCTGTTAGTTTTGATGAATTGCCTTTTTTCACTTTGAAAATAACAACAGCTGATAACTGACGGACTGGATGATTCAAATAAGTTTGAATCAATCTGACCTGCAAGAACACACTGTAATTTACGCTGAGATTGAACACTGCTAACTTTATTCACAGACTTTGTGTTTGCCCACATGAAACCTTTTAAACATTATTGGGCTGTTTCTTCAGTAAATGTGTAACAGTTCACCTGCTGTAACTTAAAGGCTAAAAGTGTTTTGTAATGTCATGTGATCAGGTTTTGTGTTGGTCAGATTTAGACACTGGGATTTTAACTGTTGAATGGAAGCATTGATTAACATTTGTCTCTGCCAGATTTGCCTCCACTGGGAAACTTACTGGTCACCTCGGCCCAGTAATGTGTCTGACTGTGGATCAGTCCGGAAACAACCAAGACCTGGTGATCACCGGGTCCAAGGACCATTACGTTAAGGTGTGTTTCGTGTGTGTGAGTCCTGGTGAAGACGGCATACATTTAGACTCTTTGTTCAGCTAAAACATCCAGGAATTCAAAACAAGGACAAGCCACATCACACAACATTTAACTGGTTTGCCTTGAGTGCAATAAAAGTAATATTCTAATTGTAAATAAAGAGCTGCTGCATGTTTCACTTGATAATAAAATGCTCTTTGATTTCACAACAAAGCACACATGTTCCACCTCTAACATGTGTTGTTGTGGTTGTTGCAGCTGTTTGACGTGACTGAGGGCTCTCTGGGGAGCATCAGCCCCACACACAACTTTGAACCGCCACATTACGACGGTATCGAGTCTCTGGTGGTGCAGGGGGACATGTTCTTCAGCGGCTCCCGAGACAACGGCATCAAGAAGTGGGACCTGGACCGCAAAGACCTGCTGCAGGTACTGGATGAGTTAAATGGTGCATACGGCTGCAAATACATCACAAAAATAGACTGAGGAGACTGAGTTGGTTGAGTAAGTAACGTAGGTTTATTTGTGTATCATCTTTCAACCATAAGACATTTCAAAGTGCTTTACGTAGTATAGGAAGAGGCAATAAGAGAAGGTATAAAAGAAACAGAAGGGAATGTAAAAAAGAATAAAATAAAATAGAACGTATATAGATATATATAAAACAGAAGAATAAAAATACATTTTCAATCTCCCACAATAGATACAAATGTATATCTTGCCTATATCAAAATTTTTATTTTATTTTGTGTTTTTTGGCTGTTTTTTGGGGGAGGGCTTTTTCCATCACTACACCAACACAGCACTTTGTTCAGCTGTGTTCAGTGGATTACCTAAGATAAAACTTTGCCACCGTTAACTTTCAATTATTAAAATAACGCAAATGATCATTCTGGAGTTTTTTTCTGACAGTTTTGACCATAGTTCATTTCTTGTTGTGTCCTACTGATAAGCATTATTGCCTTTTCAGATGTTTCCTCCCTGGTATATTTGTAAAGTTAGACACTGATTTCACTGTATAAAGTCTCATAATGGCTGACACACTACTTCAAAAGAACAAAAATACATGAGAAAGAGATTCTGTCATGAGTCTTTACATGAAAAAGTTTTAAGGAAATCTAAATTTCAGAAAGTCTTTGCAGCAGCTGCTCAGAAGAATTCACTGGAGCACACAAATGAATTTTACTATCACAGAAAATAACCTTTCATCTGTACAAAAGTCTTATTGTTCTGCAGAGAGACTTTAATTTACCTGCTCAGCTGTGAGAGAACAGACTCCTCGTGAGTTCCCGTGAAGTTTAAGAAACGTTCAGTCGATGGTGAGACCGTTTACAGATTAGACTGGTCTCAACCTTTTCATTCAACCCACACTCGTCTTTGTCTCCATCAGCAAGTCCCTAACGCTCACCGTGACTGGGTGTGTGCACTGGGCGTCGTCCCCGGCTCCCCTGCCCTGCTCAGCGGCTGCAGAGGTGGGGTGCTCAAGCTGTGGCACACGGACACACTGGGGACCCTCGGGGAGCTCAAGGGTCACGAGAGCCCCATCAACGGAATTTCTACCAACAGCAGCCACCTGTTCACCGCCTCAGAGTGAGTCTCACACACACACACACACACACACTTTAAGATAGTTACGCTTTGGCTTCAAGATAGTTTACAGATACAATTTTAAATTGTTGTTTTCTACACAGTATATTTCTTCATTCACTTATTCACTTGCCCCTGACTATTCAAATGATGAGCTGCACAGTGATGTCCCTGGTTGACCTCACAGAACCACAGACTCTCTGCTGGTCACTTTACCAAAAACTCAAACTTGCCTTTACCAAGAATCTGTTACTGCCCCCCAGATCCAATTTACAGCTCTTTGCTTTTTTAAATGATTTTTTACTTCTGCGTTTTTCTGTTGAAAACAAAATGGATCAGTTCAGTTTGGATGACATGGACATGTTCCTGAACTGCAGCACAAAGCAGGAATTGAAAAGCACCAAATATGATGTCAGAAAATAAAATCAGCCGTCAATGAAAGAAAGCCAGAGTATTGATTTTAACTCCAGTAAGGGTCAGAGGGGGTGAGTGTTTATTGATTTCTTCAGATTTTCTACAGTAACACAGCAGATTGTTATGTTCTCCTGTGTTACCAAACTGTGCACTGCTGACTCAGCGTTGGTTTGAATTCATTTAGGTTGAAAAATACACACAAACAGAAACTGGACCAAAATACTTCAGGGATGAGGATTATCATTTATTGTTCATCACTGTCTCAACTGCAGCAGTTTCTCACTACTTGGCAGTTTTTTTCCTTCCTACTTTGCTCTCTTTCTCTCTCTGATGTTTCTTAGCATCGGCCTCTAGCAAGTTCGTATTAGAGACCCGCCTTCTGGTCATTCAGCAACCAATCATTAAGACAACTGACCACAATCTGACCATGACAATATGTTAATCAAAGACAAAAACTGTTAAAAGAATAAGAACAAATTGAGGTAAGAAAGCATCAGTGAAATGCCTTAGAGAAGAAATAGGTGTGGAAACAGGGCGACTCTTGACCAGAGTCCATGACCTAGAGTCAGTCAACACCCAAGCTGCAGTTTCAAAAGTTGGATCCTTTGCCCTTTAATTTGCAAGCGACGATCGTTTGTAATGTGACACAGCTGTCATTTGTCTGCATGCGAGCAGTGCCAGCAAAGTGCTTTTGTGAAACAGGACCCTGGAGTGTAAAACTTGACAGGGGCACAACCAGTTTTGGTGAAGTCATGATATATGTTGGAGCCAAATACTAATTTATGCTTTTTGAATTCAATCAAGTTGTGATTTAATTTAATCCTAAAGCTCTGAACCAAGCAGCTTGCTCTCTGTGCACCTGGTCTATGACTTCCCTGCCACTTACTTTTGTGTGTTTCTGTCTTGCAGTGACCGGACCGTGAAGATCTGGCGTGCTCGCGGTGGACTAGACAGCACCTTAGAGACGGTTGACAATGCAGACGAGGTGGCGAGTAACTGAACGCAGCGCCACCCGCTGGGTTTGACTCTGGAAGGACATTAACAGCATCCTTTGATGCTGCTTCCCTGCACTTTGACCCCTACCCTCTGACGCCCAACGCTCACTCCTGAGAGACACACACACACACACACACATACACACACCGTCATTGCCATGTAACCTGCGCCAAGAGGAAACGCTAAAGTAACGTTGTCTCAAGAGTAACTAACACAATAACTGTTTTGTTAGACTCTGTACTCTCAGAGGCTCCTGCTAATCAGACTTAGGTCACTGTATTGTTAATGAATCTTTTCTCTCTCTGTTGCGCTGTAGGCAGTTCTTCACCCTGAACCTTGAGAGGAACTTGAACTCACAAGACGATTATTTAACACTCAGAAAACATCTCTGCAGCTCAGCATATATTCAGCGTTGTGCCAGGAAACAATGCATCCACAGACACACAATTACCCAGGGGAAGGGTAGCAGTGTGTGTGGTTAGATTAGATAAAATATACAGGAAGTTGAGTGTTAGAGGAGAAAAAGGTGGCAGAGCTAACAGGTTGGTAGCTGGTCTTCACAACCCAGTTCTCCAGTTTCTTGGGATTGTTTCTCTGCAATTGAAGCAGAACCAATGTCCCCGCGCTCCTTTTCCCAATGAACAAAAGTGGCTTTACTGTATGTGAATAAGACAAATCACCCTTCACCCTTAACTCCCCTCTCCTGCTTTTGTGCTCTTCTCTTTTTCAATTTCTGCAGCTGCTTCAGATCAGCAACCAAAATTGTGCGACTCGTTGTCTTTGCTGTCCTGCACCGCACTCGTGAACAGATCACATGTCACGGCAACACTCCCACTTCACACAAGAGTTTGACATTTTGTGAAATGAGATTATTTGTTTTCTTGCTGAGAGTTAGAGGAGAAGATTGATACATGTCATGGGTCATTATGTTAAATGTAAGCTATAGCCTTAGCTTAGCATAAAGCCTGGAAACATGGAGAAACAGCTAGCGCTAAAATTTGCGTACCAGCACTTCTGAATCAATGACTTACACATTATGTCTTGTTTGTTTAATCTGTACAAATGTGTTAAAGTGTAAAATGACAGTTTGTGGTTTTACAATAACTATTTTTTAGCCAGGCTCAGTAACTTTCTTTTCCTGCTCCATTTTTACACTTTGGATTTTGTTGGATTAAACGAACAAGATGTAATAACAGTCAGTGACCTTTGGCGGTGCCGTTACCTGTTTCCATTGCTTATGCTAAGCTAAGACAACTAGCTGTAGCTTCATGTTCACTGTTTAGACATGATAGTGGTATTGATTTTCTCTTCTAACTCTGTGGAAGAAAACAAATAAAAGTATTTCCCAAAATGTCAAACTATTCCTTTAACTTTTGAGCACTTGTGAAAATAGACCTAATAAGTGTTTGACGTAAACTTAATCTTTCTTAAATATGAGCAGGTTCAGCGTTCGAGGATCTTCTACACTTGTTGTCCATGTTTCATCGTGTGTAAAAAATGTGTGTTCACTCCTCACACGTTGCTATTAACGCTCACATGAACCTACACTGCTGAGTTGTCGTCTAACTTCCACGCTGCTAAGTCGTGTGCTCACCTTCTTCCACCCTATAAGAGGGCTTCGAGTCGTGGACTCCGGGTGAGGTCCGCTCGGTACCGTAGCATTGTGTATGTGTATATATGTAATAGTATTTTTTTTTGATTGTTTTTTTGAGAGGAGAGTCCTTCAGACTCTGCCCGATTTGTGAGCCTAACCACGTCGACTGATGTCTGTCTCCCAGTTCTGATCCTTGTGGGGCCTTCCTGGAGACTCTCGTGGTCTCCCTGATGTAACTGATCTGTTTGTCACGATTGTGTGCTGTCACTTTTGAATGTTCAGTGAAACAGCAGCTGTAGGCGTTATTCAAATACATATCTAATGTATGTAAACAATGTATTTAAAAGAAAAAAAAAAAAAACCTGACTGAATGTTAGTTTTGTGGGACCACCGGTCTGAACGCGGTCTCATGCCGACAGGACCAGAATTGGCAGGAAGACTGATGAGCGGCATCAATAATGCCAAGAATAGAGCTTTTCCTCCAGTGAGGTGGCGAGTTGTGTTTAGTGGCCTATGGTTAGTTTTTCTTTTTCTTCTTTTCGTTTGTTATGCTGTCCCTGTTACACACATCCTGGGCGTTCCCCTCTGGAGTTTTAGTTGCCATCCCCACATGGCAGACTCTGTAGCGATTCTAATGTCAGATGCCTGGTGAGAATAAACGCCATCTGTCAAAAACAAACTATGCTGTGTGGTTTTTAAATTCTCATTTCTTTCATTTAATATTATCTGAACGTTTGTTAGTATTGCAATTTCTATATAAATGTCTATTGGATTTTCTTGATTTTAGATATAAAGCTTTTTATTTCTTATTTTGGTAACACTTCACTTTAAATCTACCTAATTAATATTCATAAGCAGTATATACACATTTAATAATTTAATTAAGGACTTACAACACAAGGCATAACATAACTTCTTGTGGAGTAAATTTAAACTTAAATTGTTGCAACTATACTAGCATTTATTATCTGTATCTGTTCATCTATATTGTTCTAGTAGATTTTACAGATACAGGCTGATTCTTAACACAACTACTTCTGTTATCAGTCCCAGATTATTAACATCATGTTTCTTGTTCTTGGGGATTTCATAATGTAATAACATCTCAAGGTTCTCCCAGAATCTATTACAATACCTGAAGATGCACAAATAAGCGTTTATGTTTCAATCTCCATCACTGGTACTAGTATTATGAATTATGCATTGAACTTTGCCCAGCCCACAGTCACTTTCCATACAAATCAGGACCACAGTTCTGTGTTTCCAAACAGTGAAAGTCCAAAAATGGAGAACAAAATCTCTCAATCAAATCTTCAGATCATCATTGACAACAGAATTCATAAATCACTGACAAGGACAGATATATAGTTCTGCAAAATCTGAATAAATGCTGATTAAATTATCCATCTCCTTTTCTTCTCCAGGCTTTTGAGGCAAAGCTAGCAACCTTGAACAACCACTCCAGTATTGCAGCCAGAGGTTATTCATTTTTATGTCTTTTTCCTGCTCTGACTTTTCCTATATCACTGTCTCCTGTAAGTAAAGCTGCTTTCTGTGAAACAGAACATGGTTTAAGAGAGAGGTGTTGCTCTCCGATGACTGACGTAGTGACAATCGACCACAAGATGGCAGTAGCAGCACCTGCAAGACTGACCAGGGATAGAGGAGGTAATCCTCAGAGCTGTCGATGTCCAATAATACTTCGACTGACTTTTACCTGTAGAAAAGCTTTTATTCCTCCACTGACAAGCCCCAGATTAACCTGCAAGGAGGCCGCAGGGCAAAAATTAGTCGTGGGCCCTTTTTGCCCACACAGTAATTTGAATAAAAACAAACCTATTTAGGAATTTGCACCACATATGTTTTGGCACAAGGCTCCCTCAACAATCATTATCATTAATAATCTGCCTTAGCGTTGTAGTTTTAAATATCAATGAAAACTGCCGGGGCCCCTGAGGGTCTGGGGCCTGGATGTTTTGCCTGGTAGGAAATCAAACCTTACTGTCAACATTACAGGAAACCAGCAGCGAGGAGTGTAATGGTTGAAAAACTTTACACGTTACATGTTGGTTTAATGTAATTACTTAGTTTTACTCGTTTATGTTGGGTAATGATGTTTTACAACACTACATCAAATCTGAACAGTTGCAGATAGAAATTACCTCACTGTTAATATAATAATTACAGCATTATTCATAAGATTTTTTATGCAGAAATACCCATGCCTTGGGGCAGTTTTAGTTTCTGCAGCTGTTTTGCAGGGGGCAGTTCTGAGTGAGAGTCGGGGCTAGTTGCCTATGAGATGTTAGCAGTTCCACCAAAGAGATATTTCCCCTCTAAACTTTTCAGATGCTTCGTTTAAATAAGTGTTTCAAGCTCAAAGCAGTAAAAAAATTTGAATTCATTCATTATTCATTCATTCATTATGTATTTTTTCACTGTAAATTTTCAACACAAAATTTTTCAGCTACAATATGAAACATGATACATACAATGATCAAAAAGTAGAAAACTCTTAAATCACCTGACCCCTTCTCAAAACAAATGACATAAATGGTCTGCCAGTGCTTTTAATAACCCTTTGTGTATGTGTGTGTGTGTGTGTGTGTGTGCGTGTGCGCCCCAATGAACACATCAAATAATTCACAGGAAAGCAGTGATTAGAGACAAGTCCCAAAAAAACACAAATAAAGTATCAATTCAATACAAATCTCTGTAGCAGACCTGATTTTCTTTTTCTATATATATATAATTATATTATAAATGTATTATGAAAAAATATTGTATATGGTGGGAAATATAATATTCAGTATTATCACAACCCATCAGATTTATCTCGTAATAGTATATAAAATATATAAAATAACATATCAAACATCTTGCTGATAATATTTCTGTACTTTTAATGGAATAAGATATTGAATGCAGGACTTTTCCTTGTAATGATTTCTACATTGTGTGATTGGTACATTTACCAAAATAAAGGATCTGAATACTTCTATATAAGATGATATAATTCCACTGAAAGGCAACATGATAATACTGACTCCCTGCATAATGTTTGGATTGTAAAGCCCAGATTTTGGGCTACACAGTTAAAAATGACTTATCTAACAAATCACATTGTGTCACAGTGTCTGGCACCTACAGTAGATGTGATGTTGTCACAATCCAGTGAGAACACTTATACAAAGACTTTGTTCAGAAGCCTAATGAACGACTTGGGAGGCCATCAGAAATCTGCAGGACTGTCTGACAGGCAGCACCAATCACCGGCCACCTGATGTGAATGTTACAGTGTTGAGTGTGTGTGGATGTCACTGAGGTTATGTTGGATTGAATCTGACCCGAAACACTTCAGAAGACTCAACAGCACTTTAACTTTGTCCCAAAGCTCCAGACACAACAACTGTGAATGACAAATACTGTTTTAAATCACTTAAACCAACTTAGAGCTTGTTAAATAAAGCCACCACCTTCAGTGTCCTCTGCTCCAGTGCTACAGCTGTTCACTGTTAGCTTATCCAGCTGGCTTTTTCACAGACATCACATGTGCTCATTGGTCAGTGGCCTCTTTCTTTGATGTAAGTCTATCAATCCTCATTAAAAAAACAGCACAATCAGCTGTTTCTCAAGATGCAGAGATGTGCACATTTTGACTCCAGCCCTGCTGCTGCTCATTGCTGAGCAGATCTCCGCCCCTCAGAGAGAGATTCTGACCTACCTCAGCATAAATTGACTTAAAAGACCCTTTTTACATTGTACCATGTACATGTACTATGTCAGGTGATTTTTACTGAGGGTGCTGAACCTGTGGTTCTGCTTGGTCCTATTAATCAGTAATAATCTTTTACTAAAAATAAACAGATTTTGTTTGTTTTGGCTCTGAAAGCCCATCTAGACATGTCTCTATGTTTTGTAAAAATGCAAACTTATGAAAAATAAAAACCCTGTAACACTGCAGGACACAGCATAAATACTAGAGCTGCAGAGATAAGTGAATTAATCAATGAGTTAACCATCAAAAAACATAGTGGGGTCCAGTATTTTTGAAATCCGTTCATTGTTTGAGTCATTTTCAAGCAAAACCATCCAACATTTGATGGTTTCATATTCTCAAATTGTCATGGTTTGCCCTCATGGACACTTTTATGTTTGGACTTTTGAAATTTGTTTGGACTCTTGATTTGGACTTTTGGTTCACTTCCTGTTTTATTTTGTAATTATATTGCTTGTGTGTCTCATGGTCGTTTTACTTCCTGTCTTCCTGTGTGAGTTTTTCCTTGAATTTCCTTGTGTGCCAGTTTGTTTTCCCAGTGTTCCCTAATGCTTTTTGTTCAGTTACTCCTCGTGTTAGCCTACTAGATGTTTTTGAGTGTAGACTTCTGTTCATGGACTTTGCTTTGGCTTTTACCAATTCAGTGAGTCTTTTTGTTGGCATTACTGCAAGAACTCTGCTCTAGTTGTCTGCATTTGGGTCCAGTGAACCTAAAACATGATGGATTAATCAAGAAAATGACCAACAGATTAATCAATGATGGAAGTAACTGTTATCTGAAGGTATACGATATACTACAAAGTATTTTGACACAAAAGCAACAAATAAAAATATGCTTTTATACATTTCCTTGAAAAATTGAGCTTGATCTATTTAGTATCTTCAGAAAGTTTGGAACTGTGGCTTGAATTTAATGTAAAGTTTTGCAGGTTTGAACACTGCTTGCCTGCACAACATGAGTTTGTAATATTCACCAGCGGGTCAGGCAGGGTTGTGGAAGATAATACAGTTTAGAAGAACTCCATACATCTTTCACAGCAGGACTGCGTCTCTATATGGCAAATTAAGGGAAGGGGAGATTGAGGAGACGGTAATTAGGAGCAGTCAGAGCTGCTTCACACTCTAATAATTTGAAATCTATTTGTGGCACTGAGGCATGAATGTAATACAATTATGTAAGTCCAGATACACTGGCAGCTTAAAGCAAAAAGCTATTTTACAGTTTGAGGGATTAAACTCAAACTGAAGTCATGCTTGTACTTTGACTGAACTCCAACTACTTCCTCAACTCAATCCTCAGATGGAATATTGAAGAATGAACCTTAAAAGGTGATATATTTGCCATTCCGAAAAAAAAAAATTGCTAATGAAGTGTAATCCTGACATTATGAATGACTTTTAAAACCAATATGAAGTCTGCATGGACTTCATATAAAAGCAAAGCAATAATTAGAAATTACCTCTGGAGGAAGTACAAGCAGTGTTAAAACAGTTACACAGTAATAAAGCTCATTTATCAGGCATCTACACCAAGGAGTTTGACAAAGCCGTCTCTAAATCACTATCTACCTTTCATTTTACAAATGATGAAAATCACCACTTCATCTGGGTCGCTCCCTCAGTGGCTGTGTAAAGCTAATATTACATCTGTACTGAAGAGGAGCTGAGATGAATCAGACCTGTCATCGTTCCTAATAGAACCAAAGCAGATTGGAACAAGAGTCTACAGCTATGCTGGCAGGTCTGGGAGGCTCTCCTGGGTAATTACAGTTATGTATGATGAAGCCAGTGTGTTGATGTTTAGCAGGTATGATGTTCACCATCTTAGTTTGACTTGATCTGATGACGGTACATGTAAAGTTAAGGTGTGTTCTTTTAGAATCACAATTAAAAGGTGTTTATATGCAGATGATTTTTACCTTTATTTTCGAAAAAAGCCCAACAGACCTCCTCATCTCGAACATGGTGTACTTGTCAATGACTGCAGTCTGCAAAAACAGTAATTAAATGTGTGAAGCTGATTCTTCACTGTTTTCACACTTGATCAGGTTTTCAAATGTCTACTGTGTCTCTAGCGAGGTGCTTCCAACTCTCTCTATGCTCATTCTCTCTCTGTGTTTTACCTGGATTTAAAAGTCTCAAAAAGACAAAATCAATTGAATTCATATTGGTCATTTACTTCTAATTCAATTTTTTCTAACTTGTCTGAGGGCAAATGGGAATCGGATCATCTTGAGATTGTTTCTATGCAATGTGAACTGCCAGGTGCTGAATTCAGATACAGCTGTAGTGTAGTTAGGCAGCAAATTAGCCAGATAATTGCCCTGAAATTCAGCTCACTCATCCCAAAAGTGACTCCATGGGTTAAATACTGATGTGCAGAAAGATTGTGGTGTCAGTTCTGTGACCAAAAAATCGATATAGCACTGAGAGACTTTTGTTATCTTACATAGAATAGGCTTGAAATGCCATGTAGACGTCATGTAAGACACTATCATCAAAAGTCCATAAACCTTTTAATAGTTTGGTTTCACCACTTTTCCAATTAAGGGACATCTTAATGCAACAGCATCCAATGATATTTTAATAATAATGATAGTAATGTGCTCCCAACTTTGTGGCAATAGTTTGTGGAAGGTCTTGATGTCCCACTTCACAAAGCCAGGTCCAAGGAAATAGTATTCCCAGATTTGTGTGTGGAAGATCTCAACTGGCACCATCATCCAACCTCAGTGTTGGACCTCACTAATGCTCTAGTGATTGAATTGGAGCAATTTGCTGCAGTCTGGTTCCAAAATGTTAAGAAAAGCCTTCCCAGAGGAGTGGAGGCTGTTATAGCATTTGGTACAGATATTAATGTCCCCCTCAGGATGACTTTTTATGACTTTGACGATTTAATTTATTTTTACCCAGCACCATCATAGCCCAATGGTTTACGACTAAATACTGTACCTGCCAAACTAATGACATTCCCATCTGCCTTGGCTTTGTTGAAGGCTCTTAGTCTTGTCTTCAGTGGAAAATACCAGCTAGTTTTCCCTGTTTAATAAAAATCATTCAAACAGGTCAGGAGGAAAATTGCTCAGCATGTGATGAGGAGAAGCAGCAGCAGCTGCTCACTTTTGAGGGGTCACTTTGGTACAAATTGAAATATCTCAACAACCATTGGATAAATTAACATGAAATGTTGTACAGTCATCCATGGTCCTGAGAGCATCAAGCCCTCTGACTTTGGACTCTGACTTTGCACCAAGATGAGGTCGAAATGTATGCTTTTGGAATCAGATGTCTCAACAATTATTTACAGACTGGAACATATGAGTTAGTGAGACCCATATCACCCCATAGAAAACACAGAGCTCTCCCAACAGGTGTTTGACCTGCAGAATGAACTTTATGTCCATTTCTTCAGACTAACTGGAGCTGACACACATATTTCCAGTTTTAGCTCTCTGGTTCATGCTGGGTTGATTAATTGAGATTGTTTAGCTCAGGTGGTTTTGTCATCTGTCTTCAGTGTAACACTTTTCACTGCTGTCCAATCACAGCGTCATCAACCCTAACCCTTTCAGCTCTGACACTGACCTCAGCTCATGTGACACCTTTTTCTTACCTGACAGTTGTTGAAGGAAACAGCTCACTCCAAGTGGGTGGAAAATCAATTGCGCTGTACAAGGTGCAGTTATGCATTCAGAATAATAATAATAAACCTGCTTTGTGTTTGGTTGATTATCTGTCAACTATAGATACTTTCAGTCTCATGAGACACTGCACGTCTCAAATCATTTAAAAGTTTACATTGTCCCTCAACTGATTAGAATATTTAAGTGGCACTGTTAGTTTTATTGCTTTCCAGTTATACTCCAAACACTTATAATTGAGTTTTCTCCCACCCACAAGAATGACTCAGCTGGGTCTTCCCTGAATGATCCTAATATTTTAATGGAGGGAACACCAACTTTCTTTTTTATTTTCAACTTTTTAATATCAGTTACCTTGATATTTCAAAGAATGCATGTGGTGGAAATTAGCTGATAATTCAACTCCATCAACATGATTAGAGAAACTCATAATTTTACAGTTATTAAATAACAAACTAGCAAATTTTTTTGAGTTATAGTCAAAATACTGCAGGGAAAAGAGATAATTTATTTGTAACAATGGGCCTCTTCACTTTTCATACCCTGCTGAATTATCAGACAAAAATAACAATCTCATTTTCATTAAGAGAGAGAAAAGAAGTAAAGTAAAGAAAGCAGAAGTCCTAAGTGTGAGCTTTAAAATGCACGAATCTCCCAGCCAATAAGGAGTTTATTGATCAACAACCTTACCAACCACCTGCAGATCTATTGTGGCTGTTTTCTTAGAATCTAATTCTTCAACTTTAAATACAGTTTCTCGTCAGCTGTCTGAAGGCCGTCCTCTTCTGTGGGTCCTCTTGAAAGCAGGTTTTCCTCATTAGCATTAAACCTGGACACACACTGAAGACCCTGGAGGTTTACCACAACCTTAACCATAGCCTCTACATGCCCAAGCTCAATCCATATACCTTAATCTAACCCTAACCATAACCTTCAACCAAAAACTTGACACTTTCCCAAAAATAAATGTTAAACCCTGTAGGGGCCGGATTTTTGTCCCCACACTGTCCCCAATACAATAGATGTTGCATATACTTAGATGCTCACTGATTGACATACTACATTTAGTAGCCCCCAGCCCTTACCCTAAGTGTAATTTAGCCCTTTTGTTATTGTAATGCTGACTTTTTTTTTTTCTTTCGACATGCAACCACATGTCATTGCAATGTCAGTGGGTCTGTTAGTTGGTCCACCAACTGGTTGGTCAACCAGGAAATATCTCAACATATATTGACAGATTGCCCTGGAATTTTGTATGGACATTCATGGTCCCCAGAGTATGAAGCTAAGTGATGTTTGATAAGCCCCTGACTTTTCTTCTAGCGCCACCTGCAGGTTGAATGTTGTGGTGTGAGTGAAATGTCTTGACAATTAGGCCTACTGGATAAATTGACATGTAATTTGACTTATTTGGTTTAAGACCAAACAACTGAAAAACGAATAACATTCCCATAAGCCTCAGATGTAGCTTACTTTGTTTTTAGAGCTAATTAGCAAATATTACCATGCTAACACACCAAAATAAGATGGTAGCCTAAATAGCCTACTAGTTAGCCTATACCTGTTAAAGATCTTATCTTTGTCATTGTGTTGCTGTGCCTATAGCCCTACTTAGCCTCTCATATTTAGACATATTTGGCATGTTTTTCTAAAAAAAATTCTGAGAACCTGCAATGTTTGAAAGTTTGAAAATCCAGAGGGTTGTAAAAACACATTTTTCTAATGGTATTTCCGAAATTCCCAAAGACTCTTCTAACCTCTGAATGAAAAAAAGTCAATGATATAGAAAAAAAACACCAACAATTTCCCAAGTTGAACTTCTGTCTTGATCAAAAACAAACAAAAAAGGCCGCCGGCTAGTTATATGGATAAGAAACTGATTTGAGTCTGGGCATACTTTAAATCTTTTTCTTCTTCTTCTATTCCTTTTTTTTTATCGTTTAGCGAATAGAATATTTTTGTGTTTCTGTTTGACAATGCTGAACATACCGTTAGAACAATGGTAAGTGTTTTTAAATGACCCTGGTTCTTAATATTTCAGAGAAACCAACGGTTACTTAATGACCGGAATTTAAGCTAATATGAAACAGCCTCTCAGAGCGGCTAACATGGCTATCATGTGTACAACTGCTGTTTCTGCCTTCATCTGATTTTCTCATTATTAATCACCCCAACCTTAAACAAATCTACACTTGACCAAAATTGCCTAATCTAATGTCCAAACCTTGAACCTGAACTGAAACTGACCTTAACTCTAAAAAGAAAGTATTCGTTATCTTTGTCTCCTAGATATTTGTGTGTGTGTGTGTGTGTGTGTGTGTGTGTGTGTGTGTGTGTGTGTGTGTGTGTGTGTGTGTGTGTGTGTGTGTGTGTGTGTGTGTCTTCCCGCCCCTTCGCAACCCTCCTCTCCTCCGGAGCACCGAGGCGCACAGAGACGCGACTCCGACGCGCTGCAGCTCCGCGTCCGTGTTTTCTCTCTCCGGTGCTCCTCGCTTCAAGACAACAAACGTCTCTTTGTCTCCTCCTTGCCAAGCTTTGTGTTCATTCATCCTTCTCTCTTCTCTCAGTTCCTCTCATGTCGCCGTTAAGGCGCTGGATACGGGGCGGTTTGTGATCGACCAAGCAGCAGCTCGATGAATATGGCGTGTATTGGGGACGCAGACCCTTTCACCGCTGCGATACCTGCCACCAAAGTTGAACTAACGGTTTCTTGTAGGTGAGTACAAACTGCCGCTGGTTTGCCACATTGTCTGCTGCTGTTAGAGATACAGAGGACATGTTTATGAGTGTGACATTATCCATATTGTTCTGACATTTGACACTTGGCAGGGAGTAACTGTGGGGTCACTGTGGTGGTTGGATGTAGTGGAGAACAAACGCACTTTTATTGCAAGTGACAGTTTACTGTCATTGATTTTAGCCGTGACTGTGTCCTTTTAAAAGGTCAGGTTTGTCTTTGTATCACTGATGTGGATAAAGAATGATAAAATAAGGACTCAAATGAAGAGATGAAGGGAACCGCTGAAATTTGTGCGTCTGTGGGCAATAGTTTGCCTTTGGATGATCGCCAGGGAGGTCAGAGTTGACATATCTTTGCTGTATTCTCACATCTCCGAGCTCTGACACAGCTGCCACATGCAGAGCTCTGGGAGTGTATGTAAATCGTCACTTAATGTAATATTTCACAAATTAGTGTTTTTTCTGAGGATTTCTTGCATGGAGACTGGATGCGTGAACAGTCGGTCCAGACTGGCAGTTTTACAACGGCAGCAGCATTTCTACTCCCATCATACTGAAAACTGATAGGAGAGGGATACACTGTAGATGGAGATAGAAAGTAAGGGGGTGGGACGGAGGGACTCAATTCTGGATAATACTGGCTCATCAGACTCACCTGCAGTAGACTTTCCTATTCACAGCTTATGTATTGAATTGAATACATTTCATTTATTTACTTATTAATCTTAATTTCTATCTATCTATCTATCTATCTATCTATCTATCTATCTATCTATCTATCTATCTATCTATCTAACTTAGAGCTGACAGAGTTGTTTGATTAATCAATTAGTTGATCCACAGAAAATTTATCAGCAACTATTTTGATCATTTCAGTCAGTTTTCAATTGAAGACAGATCATTCTCTGGTTCAGCTCCTCCATTCTGAGGATTTGTTGCTTTTCTTTGGATTTTAGACTGTTTGTCAGACAAACTTGGAATCTGGGAAACTATGATGGAGATTTTCTCACTGTTTTCTTATATTTCATAGAGTGGTTGATCCATTTAACACAAAAAATAATCATCATATAAACAGATAATGGAAATAACTGTGTTTGCCATTTTCTATCTATCTTACATCAACCTTCTAGATATCTATCCTCTTCTGTACATGCACAGAGCTGAGTATTATACAGATAACTGACAACACAAGGTAACCAATGCCAAATCACAATTTCCTAAAGTGTAAGATGATGTCTTTAACTCGAGTTTTGGACTCCTGGTAGGACAAAAGAAGCGAAGATATTGATTCTATGATCACAAAAGACAAAAAAAGCAGAATATCCTTTACTAAGGAGCAGAAACTAGGGAATGTATTTGCAACACTGTTGCTGATTAATATTCTGTTGATTTTGATGATTATTTGATTAAGTGTTTTAGCTCTACTTCAGCGCTCTTCGGCATAGATCCTTCAGCTCTCTGGAGGGATGAACACGAATCTTCTGACAGACAATCCCTCATTTGTTGTTTTGATGATGATGGTGGAGAGTGTTGCCAACATGTCACTCCAAAATCTCTCCAGAAGTTTTTGTTTTAAAGGAGATCTGAGAAATGAGAGTGAAGGACATAACTTTTCACATCATGTTCATTAAAACAGAGTTGACTGATTATTGACAGGAAATTAAATGGCAACAGTTTTGATCACTGAGTAGTTGTTAAAAGTCATTTTTCAAGCAAAAAAGCCAAACATTTGGGAGTGTGGCTTTTTTACATTTCTATGATAGTAAATCTTTAGGGAGGTTGAAAGTTCATTCTTCACTTGGCAACAGTTTACAAAAACATCTCAGCCAGGGTCTATAGTATAGCTGTTCTGAAGCTTTCAACGGCATGTCATGAGCTTCATCAGCAGATGGAGTTTGCCTGGTTGTCATGGGGTTGCTATTATGAGCACTTAAAGGTCTTCTTGTCAAAGACAATTGACAAAATAATCAGTTTGAATACTTGCACTAATACAATATACAATACAACAATACAACTTGCACTTTGTGAAATTGTAATAGACACTTTTCACTATTTTATACTATTTTGTAGACCAGGCAGGTAGGCAGTGAAATAATCTGAAGATTAATTAAGAAAATTTATTATTTATTAGTTGCAGCCAAACATCAAACCATCCAGTGAGCTCTCTGTCACATATGGAAGCATTCATATGTGTCTCCACTCATTTATTCAGGTTTTTCCTTTACCCATCACCCATCAGTACAATACCAATAATGGTATAAGAGACTATACTCTATTTGGGATTTTGCATATTTTAATATTGTAATGTACAGTAACTACCTGTTAATTAATTAATCATTATAGTATCTCTACAAAATATCAGAAATGATTGAAAAATGTCACATTACAACTTCTCAAAATCCAAAGTTACAAAGTCAAATTTCTCATTTTTTCCAACAGCCACTGATATTTAATTGAACTATTACATCAGACAAAGAAATGCAGCAAACCCTCACATTTGATTGGCTGGAATCAGAGAGGATTTTGCAATGTTGTTTGAGACATTAGTCAAACAGTTAATCAGTTATCAAAATAGTTGCTGCTTAATGTTCTGTCACAAAACAATCAACTAGTCATTTAAGCTCTAAAAGCACTTTTAGTCATCCCCAAATATCATCTATATTATAATGTTAGAAAATCATATCATCATATCATATATTTATCTCATATTATAAAAGTATTTTTAAGACTCGTCGGAAATATTGTAATATTTGTCTCGGTTACAATTAATTAGCTCTATTAAGGTGAGTTTTGCTTTTTTGTTAATTATATTTTGATTGAAAACTAAGTCTTGTACACCTGTTCTGAGACACATAATGGACAGAAGAAAAAATGTGTTTTCTCTGACCTAAAATCAGTGATCTGCTGCAGGAGACCGAGCTGCTGTGGCTGTTTTATGACGCTCTAAGATAAAGATCTGATAATGGCTCGACCAACGAAGTCAGCCTGGTAATGACCTTAATGATTTTGAGATCAGAGCCCGTGAAGATGTTTCTTCCAAAATGAGGAAGCCACCATCTGGAGAAAAAAAAAGTTATTTTAAAGAGATGCTCTTCTGTTAAGAGTAATGACTCATCCCTGTTTTCTCACAAAATGCTGGTCTTACACATGCAGACTTTATGTATAACCCTGGCCCACGTGACTGTGAGAAGGAACACGTAGTTAAAGAAAGCAGATGGATGGGCAGTGAAGTTACAAATTGCTACGTTTCTTTAATGGTTGTAATGGAGTTTTGAGTCATAGGGCCATTAAGTAATGCTCTGTTTCTGAGCTAATACCATGTATTGTGTTGGAAGGTTTGGGGTGAGGGTAGAACTGCTGCTACGGTATTTGCTATTTCAACCTGATAACTAGCTTTAGCTATGTGCACCTAATAAACTGTTAAGTGTATACACATCCGCACAGGTAGTTTTGATATTATGCCCCAGGATTTGGAGATATTTAGTTCAAATCAATAGGGGAAGTGTATTTTGTTTGTCTGCTCAAAACTTTCAGTGGCTGTGGATGAGCTTTGAGAGGTTACTTATTTTTACTAGGTTACTGGAGGTGTGGTTATTAAAAAGCATCAGTGTTTACCAGGCAGTGAAGGTCTAAATGAAAGACACTATAAGACACTGTTTGCATTATGGGAAATCTAGTATTCAGAAATTTTGGAGCCATGGACAATCAGGGGTCACGGTGGCAAAATAATTTCCTTCATTGACTGAATGTTTTTTAACAATGACGATAAAATCTGAAGGCTGACCTTCATTTTGACAGATTATATTCAACTGCTTCGTGTGGTGTTGACATGAAAAGTCAGCGCATGGTCGTGTCTCTGTTCATCTTTGCTCTCCATGCCCTTCTAAATGCATAATCTGAGTTGTTTTAGGAAATTAAATACTATTAAATAGGCTCTCATTACCATTCAAAATGAAAATTGAATGAAAGGTAATAATACATTATGAAAGAATTTTGACGACCCTGTTCATCAAAATGACAGAGAACAAGAAAGTGCAACTTCTGTGGACCATAACGAGGGACTAAAAGTCAGGATATCTTGGTCTGTGCTTTACTCTGACCCTTCACTTTTTTTGACCTGACTTTTGCGCATCCCTTACTGTTACAATACTAAATCACCGGAGTACTGTGAAAGCTGAAAACCTTGTTTTTGCTGTGCTCCAGCAGGGTTGTAGAGGTGTACTCCAGGGAGTGTCAGTACACTAGAGCTGTCACTTTTCAAAAAGTCAAGTTTGACCACATTCAAACTAACACGTAACACATTCGAAGTGATTCAAACTTGAGTGTGAGAGACAGTGAACTGTCAGTCTTAATGCATGTGTGGCCATCTGTATGTGGTGTTATACAACTGCATTATGTGTTTGGAGATTGTGATGCAACTTGGACATGTATATTGTGGCCTTTTCTTTGGTGACTTTACCATCTACAGTGTAGAACTCGAAACACTTCCACACAATGATTTTCAGATGCTTTGGTGTTGTGATTATCCAATCAGCATGGCCTTGATACTTCTTATTGATTAGCTTATCATTTGAGATTGAAAACCTTATGTAATGTAATAAGGTTTTCAGTTTGAATAATATCATATAATTTTACATGTTTGAAGAACAGTTTGAATTTTGAAGGACACGTAACAGCCCTACAGTACACCAGCACTTCGCTGTTGGGTGTGGTTGGGAGTGCAACAGTATTGAAACTTTTAACCAGCGTGGGCACTACTTTTTAACCTGGTAATGAGTCACAGTTTAAACTATATGCATTAGAGTTGCAACGAATGAATATTCTCTTGATGAATGGTTTAATCATTCTGTCTATAACACAAACATGAGAACACTGAAAATGCCCACCATGATATACTAAAGCCCAATGTGAAATCCTCAAATGTCTTGTGTCCAATCAACAGTGCAAAACTTAATCATATTCAATGAAATCAAGACA